CGTGCGTGTGAGCGGGCAGCGCTCCAGTCTCTCTAGAACGTCCAAGTCAAGGCGGTAACAATGTCTCAAAAAGCGGCCAGTCCCTTGGAAAGCGGTGACTCGAAATTGGGCTGGGCGAAGTGAAAGAGACAGGGGGATGGATATGTGAAGGGCGATTCGAATCGGGGTGCAGATAGATGAGGCCAATCAATAGGGTCAACGCCCGTCGTTCCAGAGTGTAGTGTAGGTTCCTGGTTGTATGTGTCCAGAGTCCAGACCGATTGAGTTTGGTTGCAAATGCAGCGACCGTTGTAAGAAGAGCGATAAGAAGCAGAAGCAGAAGCAGACGAAGAACAATAACAACAAGCAGACAACGAGGACGACAAGATGAGCGGATGGATGTCAGCGATGACAGCAGGCGGCTATCGACCGGTATTGTGTGACCTTGATGAACGAGCGCCGGCCCCCGGTGACCGGAGACGATGATCAGGAGGCTACAACTTTCGCTGGATTTGCAGGCGACACAAGATGATACCCAAGGGTTGCAGTGCTCGGAGTAAGCACCGAGCCACTGGCATCAAGATGCAACTGCAGCACACAGAGGGGAGGTAGACGTAGAGTAAACAGTAGACACAGACGCAGAAACGACGAAAAAAGCACAGTTGATGGTGAAATGGAACAAATTGCGGACCGGGTGAGTTTTGATCGTTTGGTGATGTGTACCTTGGATGGGCGTGGGTGTGTGTGTGTGTGTGTGTGTGTGTGCTGTTTCCGTGTGTGTCCAAGTTGCAGCATGTAAGGCAAGGTGAAGGTAAGTTACCTATCCCGGGTAATGTCTTAATTGACAGTAGAGGCGTGGCTGGATCATTCATCAATGTACTTTGTATCCGTACAAGCTGAGGGAACACGGCACGCTTGAATACTTGGCTTCAATGAATTGCATATCTGGCTTCCTTGGGTATTGCGGTGTCCAGAAAAGCCTGACGCAAGCTGCGGCGAAAAGGTGTAATTACGGTAGGCAAGGTAGACATTTGTTCACGTATATCACTCAATCTTGGGACTGGACGAATACGATGAGGATCGGTCTGAAGCTTGTTCGCCATCAGGCCGTCCTATTCTTCGAGACGCGCTCGCTTGCTGTGCGTGGATGGGAGCCAGAGCCAATCTGAGGGGTGAGCTGAGAAATGGTGGTGTGTGCCTTGTCATTCTCTTTCTCATCTTGCAGCGTCTTCCTCGATCATACCTTGCCTCAGATAATGTGGCACTACCTATGGTTTCCCATCCTCTGTGAATACGTACAAGTGGAAGTGGCAGGGACGGACGGGGAGATGGCGCTGCAACTCGAAGGTTGGAAGGGACGGCGGGCAGATATCCATCTGCCAATGGGAATGAGAGCGAGATAACCAGATTGGCTGTGCGACTTTGCTGAGAATGCCATGTATCCGTGTGGATGGATCCTAGAGAGTTGGTCTTGCGTCTTGCGTCCTGCACTTGCAGCTGGCGTTGTGGCGTTGGATGCCCAGTGCTCAAGCTTCCCGTTTGGGCCTGATACTCGTAGAGGTAGCCGCACCTTGAGCACGCTAGATTCATCGAACTCTCCTGCCGGTCTGCACGTATCTGCGTGTACGGAGTATGTGCGTCTGCTTGGAGTTGGAGCTGTTGCTGAAGCGGGAACTGACTGACGCCCTGTGCTCTTCCTTTCTTTCTCTCGTCTCTGTTTCCTCTGCATTGGAGATCAGTGTCTGGTCTGTCGTCTATCTCAGCATCCGTATCTGTAAGGTATCCATCATCGTGCGTGGGCGCCTATGCCTGGGTTGCTAGCCAGCCTTGACCGGGGACCACGCAGCAAAAAGACAGACTCGCCTATTTCCTCTGTCCCCTTTCGGCTTGCGTCTGCATTGGCAAAGATCCATTAATTACAATAGAAGTTGGTGGAGGAGCACAGTCGATTGACACTGAGGTGAGTGTGCAGTGAAGTCCCAGGTTGCAAAAGGTTGGTTGATGAGGCGTGGAAATTGCTGAGGAGGGATCCGCAAAAAAACTCATCGACGGGAGAAGAATAGTGGTACGTACCGCAGGTCCAGATACCTCATTGGCCGTGTGTCTGCGGCGGAAGACTTACGCGAGCGCACCGTGTGGCACCTGCGCCACGCGCCGCCAAGACAGATGGCAGCCCTCTCCGAAGGCTCCACTCGGTGCCCTGAGTCCACTCAAGCCACCCACTTCCTGGCCAATCATACACTTGTCTGGCGACGGTTCCTTGCCAGAGTCTGAGTACAGTGTGAGAAGTTTTCATTCTTCCCATCGACTCTCGAGACATTCTCACTCACATCCCACGTCGCCCGATCCCTTGGCCGTACCAACCGACCTCCTCCCACCACCGTACCACCCACCATCCATCCACCTACATTGGAAAGACTGAGACTGAGGGGACTGATAAGCAAACCAGGGCATCAGCACATCGACCCCCCAACGCCAGCGCAGGGCAGCGCAGCTAAAACACGCGCGTCCCGATGGCGGATGACCCCTCCGGTACGCAGGACGGATACCTGGTAAATTATGACATTGCTCTGCGAGATGAGCCCTTGGGTCTTTCTCTTCCATTAGCCGCTTACCTAACCAGCCTTACTGTGGTTCCAGTGTCTGCTTACTGTCCGCGGATACCTACTTGTACGACTAAGGAGTACCGACTGCAAAGTCACGAACATCACCCTGTGCAGCAATTCTGCCTGCCCGCCTCGAAACCCACTTCAGCCCAGATAGAGCCACATTCCTCGGGCCTGCTCCCCCCAATTCCACTGTTTCTCATACCGATAGGGCCCAAGGCCCAAAAGGCCCCTTCCAGGTTGCTTCCAGGTTCTTGAACCCTCGACTCGATACCCTGGGCCACTCCCGGTGGCTCAGGCTCTGGCCCCTGACCCGTCGCCAGGATGCCAAATGCACCGGCGATGCAGAGCTGCAGTCCCGCCGCCTTCCTTGCCTCGCCAGGCTTACCTCACTCGTCACTTTTACAACTCTGGCCTCGCCCCTCATCAACAATCAACGTCAGTCCTCATCATCTTGCAGGCAACAAGGAACAGATTGCTCAGTGCCGGGGCAATCTGGCCTCTTGCAAGTCCGGATACGACTTGGCTCTAGTTCGGACTTCTTGCTACGCGTCTCTTGTCTCTTTGCCTAGAGCCTTCTCCACAAGTCAATACGCTTTTGGCCAAGTCTTGTGATACCCAGCGGACGGCGACCCCTAGGAGACTTCTTGAGTCTCTGCTCAGTTTCTCACAATGTGAACTACCAAGACTGGTCAGTGGCCACTGCGGTCAACTTACCGTGTGCCCGCACATTGGATGAAAACAGTAACCTGATCCTCTCCTTTGGATCCAAGCTACGCCGACCCAGACCGGTGCCGCGGGAAACTAACTCTCTCACGGACTCTTGTCATCGACTTTAACACGCAGCTCGGCTCGTCTCAGGACGTCAGCGCTTACCTGTTGCTACAGCTAATGCAGGCAATGGCCCATGTATCCGTACCTACCTCTCGAACAACGGGACTGCGTAGGTTTGTGCCCTGGGTTCCTTCCCGGCCAACCTAAAGTATCGACACCAAGACCGAGCGGATCTTACTTGGTCTTGTTATGCATCGATACTACTACGCACCTCCCTCAACAAGAGACGGTACGACTTTGCGGCGTGTCCTGAACCTAAACTTGGCCGGACCATTATATCCAAGGAGAGGCTACTCGGCTTTCCACAAACCGTCCGATTTCTATTCCACCGTCCATAGACAAGCTCTTTCTCTTACCTTGTCGCCGGGAAATAGCCTAGCTTCATTGGCCCATCTTTGGAATTACTCGTTGAAATGCAAGACAGTGATTGTCTACAACATCAGTTAGTTAGTCATTGCAACGAACTGCTACTACCCTACGACGCAAGCCAAATCTAGCAACCGTTGGCCGCCTAGAGTAATCTCGACGCAAGAACCGGCGGAAGACGGGTTGGCACGATATCAGCCCGCCGCATTGCTTGCGTCCGATGTCAATCATCGGCCCTTTGATAGGCTCCCGCTTCCCTCAACGTCAGGAACAGAACCCCGTGGTGAATGCAACCCTTCCCGCAGATGGCCGTTCACATCTGCACCAACAACACCACCACCGTCGCTACCACCCATCCTTTTCTCCTAGCGAAGGAATCTGGCAATTCAACCAGTCGATCAATTCCTTTCTGTCCGAGTCTGGGCCTCAGCCCAGCTTAAGCCTTGCCGTCTGAGCGGGATTAAACAAACCAACCTGCCAGCCTCCTAGGAATCTAGGAAATCGAGATGCGACACTTGATTCTTCAGCCCCGACGTCGCTCCGAATCTCGCACAAACGCCTCAATACCACCACCTCACCACCTCGCGTTTAGTTAGCCTTTTGTAATCGTGTGTCAACCATTCTTGGTCCGGTCGGGTCGCACAAAGCAGGAATTGACTGGACTTCTCCCAAGTCGGTGATGGATTGCACAAAGTCATTATGTAAAAATCCTTGCACTTGGTTTAAACTGTGCATAAAGCTGGTCTTTCCATCTGACCTTGATCGAAACGTACTAGACATCACCTGGACTGCAGCCAGCGGCGGTAACCTAGTCTCCCCCAGCCTAGAGACCAGCTACCAGCCCCAAGAGCACCAATCAACGATGGGCCTTATACCACCACAACTTGGTCTAGGTGCGGGCAACAACTATAAGCTACCTAGGCACAATTAGGCGACTCCGATGTGTGTGTGTATGTGTATGTGTGTGTAAAACTCGCGAATGGTGGACCGAGTAAATACCGAGTGGCAATCTTCCAGTTCAATTAGACGTCTACCTAATCACGGGTATTCTAGCCGGTTCTATCCCATTTCTATCTACAACAGTTTCTCTACGAACAGAGATTGGACAAGTGTCACTTGAAAGGCCAACTAACCATGACTTCGTCTTCCATATACTTTTCCTTTTGCTTTCCGGAGAGTAACCCCCCCGAAGAGACATGGGAATTTGACAGCGGCTGGTAATCCGGAATTCTGTCCGCCGCGTGGGCTGATTGTCTCACGTCTAAGTCAAAAGAAGGCTTCTGCAGTTGCAGAAAGATAGTTCTGCATCACACGAAATCTTCTGCCTCACGGTTTGTTTTTGCTTCTGCAAATCACCGAGGTGCTGCGGGTGTCTCGTCCGGAAACCGGATTGTACGACTTGGGAGCTCTGGTGGTGGCGGTGGCGTCTGCACCTGTTGTTGCTCATCAGCCACTTTTGTCTGAGAACCATTAACGAGTGCTCCGTCTTCGGGGCCTGAACGTTTTGGCTGCTCCGGTTGATCGGCCCGCTTCGTCCAAGGAGGGGCCGCGCCCGGCTCGTCCGCGCTCGCAGGCTGCGGAGGGATGACTGAGCCGCCGATTCTGTAGATGGGCCGATTGGCTCCTTCCATGTCGGATTGGGGTTGTGACTGTGACTGTGACTGTGCCCGCGACTCGATATTGAAGCCTGAGCCTGTCGCTGCTTCAATACCTTGGGATCGTGAACGACCAAAGGGATACAGTACTCTGCCACGGATGCGGAACGCGGGTCGAGGGGTCTCAGGACCACCCTCGGGGTCGCCTTCGCCGCTCATGAATGAGATGCCTCGAGAGAGCGAGCGTGGAGCGTAATAGCCGAGCTTGCCAAGCGGGATGCTCAGCCCGTGGACCACCTATTTGAAACTTCATTTTAGTTCTCAACGATTTCGGGAGTGCGTCACTTACTATACTACAGACTGCGAGGAACCAGACAACGACTCTGACTATCTCGGGCAGGTGAGCAACATCCGAACGAGGTTCATCGCCCTCGTTCAGCGTATGCAAGAATTCGACTGTGACGTAGAGATAAAAGATGGCCGATACTCCAATGGGGCCGAAGAAGCCCACGAAGATGGCTTGCTTCACCTGCTCGATCTGGGGTATGAGGCGGTGGATGGCAAAGACGAAGGGGAGGCGTCGCAGAATCAGAACCAAGATGCCAAGAGGGATGAGACGGTAGATGGGGATCACGTCGTTGTGAAGGAACTCGTTCCACGGGATGACGGCGCCGTACCACATGAAGATGGTGACGTTCAAGAGCATGTCAATCGTCGGCTGGAAGGAGTCGTCTTCGGTTTCCAAACGGAACCAGTCGTCCCACGTAAAAGCGTTGCCGGCGATGAAGCACGCGAGCACGTCATCGCTGCCAATCATGCCGCACGTCCCGACGATGAAGAGCGCCAGGGAGATTGCAAAGACGAGGAAGCTCTCCCTGTCGACATATTTGCGCTTCTCGGCCCATCTGAGCAGCGTCTTTGCGAGCCATCCCACAACGGCGCCGTAGATGACGCTGAGGATGATGGTATAGCCCCAGGTTTCACCGAACCACAACCCCATCGCCAAGCCGGCGCCGCCAGACACCTGCTTGCCGCCGTCGCCGATGTACTTGATGAGGTACAGGGCGAAGAACAGGAACGGGTAACCCAGCCCATCATTAGCGCCGGACTCGCTGATGATGAGATTCTGCAGCTCCGTAGGGATGTTGTGGTCTGCGAAGCGGCCCTTGACGATGACGTTGGACAACACTGGATCCGTGGGCGTTACGCAGGCGCCGACGGCCAGGGCGTGCAAAAAGGGGATATGCGGCACCAGGGCCCAGACGAGGAGGGACGTTGCGAGCCACATGCAGGTCATGACGGGCCCGACGAGCAGGGCCATGGGCTTCCACTGCGTACGGAGGTATCTGCTGGGCAGCTGGACGCCGGCGAGGACGAGCTGGACGCCGAGGACAAGGCGGGAGAAGGCGAGGGTGACGCTCTCGACATCCTCTTCCGTGCCGGCATATTCCAGCGGTCTGATGAGGTTTGCTGCAGGAGGGGAGAAGGCCACGCCCGCGAGGAGGGATATCACTGGGGTTTTTGGGTTAGCCGCTTAACTGCAAGACGAATCGAGAAAGTGATGCCCTGCGTGGCGATCTGGGCGATCTAGGCGCATCTACTGCGACCCTTGACACCATATTCACCATTGGGGGTCCATTGGGCTGCGAAACGTGTGAACAGCGGTGGGACTTACGGGCTTCGGAGAGGTAGTAGTTCTCCTTGCATAAGTATGAGACCAGGCCGAACAGCGAGATCCAGCCACCTAACAAGCCTACGAGGATATTGAAGTTTGTGAGCGCGAGGGTAGGCATCTTGGGCGGCCTTTCTCAAACGTGAGATCTGCTTCCAAAAGTCGAGAAGTACTCAAGCTTTCGCCAAGGTGTCTAGTCGGGCCTGGAAAGCTTGGAAGCCTCCACACTTTGTGCGAGTTTGCGTTGTAGGCCCCGCGATCTCGTAGGTGAGATGATCCAATGAATGCGCACGGAAATGCGACTAGGGCCCGGTTCGCCAAGTTTCTGAATCACGAAAGGTGGCGGGTTATCTCTCGGTAACACAAAACGACAGGTAGGGCGATAAAGAGAACGCGCGCGCCCTACGGTTAGGGAGGTTCTTCTGATTTCGGATCCGAAGGAGGCCGGAAACCAAAGGTTTTCGTGCGGTACGATCCGAGGTGCAGTCTATTCCAGCCAACAGCAGGTAGAAGATTGTTATCGAATCGCGGGGTTCGAAGCGTCGTGGACGAGAAGGAGAGTTGCGGCGCTTGCGTGGCTGACTGTCATTGGGAGGCCAGACAGGATCAACAGCTTTCGTGGCGATGATGGTTGCTTCTTTGGATATTCTTCTGCGACCAAGAGATGGCGGTCTGCACGTCTTGCGGTTCTGGAGGGGTCCTGGGCTTCTGTCTGCCCAATGATTTCCGAATGCGGTGCGCAGATGCGGGCGGCCGAGTGAATAGGTAGGCCGAGTGGGAAGTCTTGGGTGAGGAAGTTCACGATGTAAGGGGGAAGAGAGGTTGGACGGAAAAAAGAAAGGTGGCGGCTCGGCGAGGATTCAATGCAAGTGCTGTGGTTTTTGGATATCGGGGCGAACGCCGCCGAGCTGTAGCCCGGCCCTTGTTTTTTTTTCATCATCACCGCTGGTTTGGCCAAGCTGGAAGGAGGGGTGTCCCTGGTCCCCTGCTAGGATACCTAGAGTATTTGTTTGACCCGATGAGGAATGGCTCCTGGAAAGTAAGTATTAGAGTGAGATGATGGACGCTCAGATTTGCGATGATGTGGGGTACGTAGAGTTCAGCTGTTTTGCACAGAATGGAGAGGAGAGGCTGTCCTATGCGCTGGATATTTCCTATCTTACTGAATAGTGACAAACTATCTTAGGACATGCAAGCTTAAACGGCGCTTTTTTATGCTTCTGATGGTCAAAACCGGACCTCGTGTGATGCCCAGAGACCAAGTTGACCAAAGTTAAATGTTGCAAAATATCTCTTTGAGTCTCTTTCTAGTCGACGTGGATTTTGACGGGAAACAATGCCTACTTAGCCCTACAAGACTCTGTTGTTGAACAAGCGCAACAAGGTAACAAGTAAAATAAGTAGAATGTTCCTCGGGACATCAAGCCGGTGCCAAGAATCTAGACCACTTCTGCACCTTCCCTTCCCTTCCCTTTCCTCTAGGCTCTCAGGCGCTTCCCCCCTCTCGCTCTCTCTTGTCTCTAAAACCACATTCTCCAGCCTCGAGACCCTCGCCAGCAATCCACAAACGCCCACAGAAACGACAACGTGGGGGCGTACAGAGGGATAGAGACACGATAAAGTAACGAAAAGAATACCCTAATCACATTAGCTCTAGGCAGAAAAACAGACACACGCGCGCGCGCACATAGGTAGAGCCACGAGTTTAGTATGGTCTCACAAACCGCCACCATGCTTGTGAGACAAAAGTTGTTTTTTCCAAGACCATCACATTCGCGCCGGCCTGCCGCGGAAGCAACGGGAGAGGGAGAGAAAAAGGGTCCCCAAAGATAAAGATATTCTGCCCTTGGAGAAGGCAGAAAATCCTACGTAATGAGACAGAGATACTATTCGTAGGTAATCCAACGTCGGCGGCACGTTTGAGTGTCTAAGAGAGAGAGGGGGAACGTTGTCGAAAGAGGATGAAATTCAGCCGAGGATGGATATCTACCGTGTTTGGAACATGAAAACTACTTAAACAACAAGCAGAAACGAGAAACAGAACAGTTGAACAAACCACCTGTTAAACACTTGAAGCCGTCATTGGACTTCCGCCACGAAACAAGACATTGGTTAATGGTCTTCTTGCATGCATAGTACACCTCTGGGTCTGTACCGGCAATATCTCCTTGTGGAACACAATAGAACCAGATATACGATCCGCCATCGAAAAATAATTACAGGATCAAAGGCTGAGAAAAGTCTTAAGGAGATTGGGATATTGACACAAGCAGAAACGTCACCATGCAATCAAGCGTGACCACATGCGCCCGAAACGCCCCTTTGGCATGACCGTCACATCAAGTCAACGACCCTTCACAAGTATGACGATATTTAACATCGCCCGTATCGCTGCTGCAGACTGGTAGTGCGAAGGGTCGGAGCTTTGTCCGGGTATCGTCGATTGGCACGCAAGGTCGCCCTCTGGCGACCCCTCCGACTCACTGCCACATCGTATCCTATGCTATCGCCACCAGACAAACATAAAAAACACGACTTATACGTGCTTTGCAGGATCGTAGTCATCCCAACTTTGATTTCGAGCCCATCATTGCCGCCTCATTTGAGCTTTCTTCTTGACTTCGTTGGCAAAGTTTTTCTTGCACCGGCCGTAGCGAGCTCATCCGCAGCCTTGTTGCCTAAAGATGTCGGGTCTCGCGAATTGGTGTGAGCCTTCACCCAGTCGATTTGCGTTATTGTCCCTGCAGCCTCTCGTCTGTCGATATGCTCTCTTATTGCCTTGATCAAGTCCTGATTTTCGACAGGCTTTTTATCCAACTTCTTCCAGCCGTTGGCCATCCACTTCTTATAGTAGCGAGTGGCGCAGTTCCTTGTGTATCCGCTATCCGTCCAGATTTGGACATCCTGCGTGACCGAGGTGTACTCGAGTGCTCGGAGGAGGGCGGTAAGTTCTGCTCGCTGATTCGTTTGTGATTCACCTTCGAGGGGTTCAGATATGTTCCTAAATGCGTCTGGGTCAGTCCGCTGCCTCTGACCTCCTGAGGAAAAGATGTAGAGGAACTACATCACCACTGCTCTGTTTGAGAATGAAACTGGCGGAGGAAGACAAGATGTAGTTGAGGACCCGCTTACCTTGCATCGTTGGGTCCGAAGTAGACGCCTACGCCGCCCCTGGCAGAGGGAGTACCATTGCCCGCCGTAGCTCCGTCGATATAAATTTGCGGCAGGTTCAGTACCACCGCCATCACAGAATCGTCTTCAGATTCCTTCTCCGTCTCCTCCTCCACCCCATCATCATTCTCCTTCTTCACCTTTTTGGCCTTCGGTGCGGCGCCTGTGGCTGGCTTCCTCGGCAGAACCTTGATACCCGCGTTCCGGGCGCCTGCCTCGGCGCCGGCAATCGTTTCCTCATTGCCCCATTCCCTAACGAACTCTAATGCGTCGGTGTATGTGTCGAACCTCTTATACTTGGGCCCTTTGGCATCCTTGATTGCCAGGGAAACCGTATCCCAGTCGTTGACGAAGATGCCCGTGAAATGACCACGCGCGACGGCATAGTATCTCGGAGGAGCGGGCTTTTCCCCGGCGGGCGCGGGTACGAACTTGCCTTCCACAAAAGCCTGAGCCTCTTCGCGTGTGAAGAAAGACTTGTCTAAAAGGTAGCCTCTGTCAGTCGAACCGGTCAAGAAGGCCCCCGAATCCATAGCGAAATGGTCAGATGTCTTCACATACATATTGCTCCTTTTTGATGAGCAGTCTGCTTCTGGCATTCGAGCCATGTCAAATATACACCTGGCCGGAGACCGACGCGCACAGCGTAGTATCTCTGTAGGTCCTTGTCCGCCTTGCGCTTCCTCGATTTGTCCGCCGGCATGTCGACGCGCTCGTTCACGAAGCTTGCGAGAAGCTGTAGGGTGTCACGGTAGTCGTTGGGGATGTCGGCCGGTCTGCCTCGCCAGGTCGTGGCGTTTCTTCGTCTTAAAAGTACCGATGGGAGAAGGCGACAGCTAAGAGAAGCTCGGGGATGAAGTTCGTCCACAGCCTTTGTCCAAAAAGGTTGAAGTCGCGAGCGCATGTGTCGGAGCCGTTACAAAGCTACCTGGTCGGCGTCGCGTGGGTCAAGAGAGTCAAAGGCGACTCATGCTGGTGGCTAGAAGGGTCTCGAAAGCTGCAGTTCCAGGGCCGTTTCCTCTGGCTTTGTTCGTGGGCGCATGCCGAAACATGTAACGGAGGAAAAGAGTGAAGATTGCGGCAAGGGCTGGTGACGAGGGGACCACTTCAATGGATGGGAGTAGGTATGGATCAGTTCTCCCAGTGCGGGCCTTCCTCACCAGCATTAGGCGCGCCGATAAGATAAGGCGCATCTCTTCCCCGCAGGAAGCACGACCGCTGTAAAGCTTGCCGACCCCTAGCGCAGTCTGGCTCTGTACCTACCTTATTCATCGGGCGCTATTACTTTTGTAGGGTAAGTGAGTGTAGGCTGCAGCCAATACCACTTGGATGCTGGTCTTATATCGGCTGGAACTCTTTCCCAACGGTTGCTCCTGTGTGACTCTGGGATTTTAGAGAGTGAAGGGGTATATCTTCCCTCAACCATTGCTCATCACAGCAACTATGGACGATAAAGACTTGATGTAAGTTGCTTGTGCATTGCTAAAGTTGCCGTCTGCTACAAATGAGACAGCATGGGTATAATTCCTGACCAGCCTACCGTCGCACGACTCTCGAACCTCCCTCATCCCGTCAGGCAATCCACGAGAGCTGAAAGGACTATCTAAACCCTCTGCTAGCCCTTCCAACCAATTTCTCAACCAATTACAACAGGTAAAATGTAAAGCGCAAGAGCCGCCTACCAGCTGGCTCAGAGCTTGGGGTACAGGGTTAATCGATACTAATGCATCGAGACTACCGTCAACTTTCACAATCGTTGGCATCCCGGCACACAAAGACTGTTCTGGCCTAGGCCGGTTTCCCGACCATAAGCACCAAGGTATCGTCGTAAAGTCCCATGGGGACTAAGCATGGACTCTGTGATCAACCGGCGGCAAAGGTCCCACGCAGTCGCTCGATTCCCACTCCCACGCCAACAAGCTCCAGTTCAGCTCACGTCTCCAGAAGAGGCCGAGACCCTCGCCTCCGCCGCAGTTCTCCAGCTCGGGGTGGCCATGTCCTCGATCTTCCGAGCACATGCCCCCAGTAAGTGGCATGCGTTGAGCGAAGACGACCTTGCCCATCCGCGAGTGAAGGATAGCCATCGAGCATTGGACGCAAGGCTCGTGAGTCAAGTACATCTCCATACCGTGGCACAGGTAGCCGTCTGCATTGGGATGCTCGTCTTCATGGACCGTGAGCTCGTCTTCCAAGAGCGGAAGATCTTGAAAAGTGTCGTATTCAAGGATAGGCGGCACGTTGGAGCGGCCGGCTGCACGTCTCTCATGTCGCACGAGCTTCTGCGCCACCATGCTGATAGCTCTGAGCACGCAGTGACCCATGGGATTGCCGGTACCGCTTCTATTGGGCTCCTGGTGCCAACGAGCATCTCCGGCAACCGCTACGAGGTGGGATTTTCCCCCTTCGCGCTGGACGATGACGGCACCCATGGGTTCGCCGATACCCGCCTTCTTGGCCTGGAAGGCGACGCGATGGGCCAAGGTCATCCAAAGAGATGTCTCATCCTTGATGGTTTCCGTTGATCGTCCCACCATGCTAGGGTGCGGTCCAAGGGGGTTGTTCTTTCTATACACCGTAGGCCAGAACTGCGAGGTCCACATAGCTGCCTGCACCTGAGAAGTAGGCGGTACCATGGGGATCGGAATCTTGGTGAGGAAGACGTTCTCATCCATTCCCTCGATGGCCCCCAGCTTGGCGACCAAGTCGTGCTTATCGAAGTCTTTCTCTTCACCAAGCATGATGTAGATCCAGGTGGATTTACCCGTATGGACTTGGCGGCCTTCGGGGGAGTCGTTCATGAACTGTGTTTTGAGATGAGCCGGGATATCCGCTGGCTTCGCACATCTTCGCAAGTGAGGCAAGTTGTTAGCCACGCCTTCAGGGAGCATCGAGCGGATCAGACTGCAGTCAGGTTAGTATGTGATAGAACCGTGATGACTGCTACTCACTTGACGACATTATTAGTAGACGTAGATGGAGCCCTCGTGATCAAAGCCTGAACAATGGTGTGGTCTTGTCGGATTTCCAAAGTCGTCTTCAGAGGAATAAGCACTCCTCGGCCAAGTTGTTGTGGAAGCAGGTGGTCGATGAGAGCATGGGGCTGGATGACATCAGGGCCAGTGTGCTCGATCTTTTCCTCAGGTTGATCGTCAGGCCGATCAGAGGCCATGGCCGGCAGCGAGGCGCGTTCGACAGCGAGCATCTTGACTGGTGGTCTCCCTTCCAAGATTTGGGCAGAAAAAGCAGGGACTGATATGTTCGTCAGTATAGATGGGGGTGCGTCACGCCGAAGCCGTGACTCACTTCAACAAGAAAGTTACGGTATCTCGATTTGGCCTCCCGAGGCACAGGACGACCGACAGAGAGGGCTACGGAGATAGCTGCCGTGTACCGCTGTGGCGTGCTATGAGCGAAGTGTGGATTTCAACAGACGACAGAACGACTGTAGTAGCTCCACGATGGCTTCTTGAGGAGTAATGTAGTGACTTGGGTGAAGAGTCCAGTCAGAAGCCTGTCATCAAAGGTTTGCTGCTGGAATCTGATGCGGCTCGTTGGGGTTTGACGGTGTCGAACAGGGCCAAGATCGGATGTAGCGGAGGGTTTGCCGAGCAGTCAACAAAACAGAATGATGACTAGGGAAGATTTCCAGTCAAGTCCTTGTGCGACCGACGGTTGATGTAGGTGGCACACCTAGCTCCTTCTTGAGAAAGAGAGATATGGCGTCGTGTCGTCGATCTCCAGCTGCTCTATAACCTTTCCTCCGTGCTGTGAGGGCTGGATAATTCTGTAAGGGAATGACAAGCCAGCTCAGTTACCGCAGTTGGTAAGGTCTAGATGAAGGAGGCTGCGAGGTTGCTTTTGGTCCCAAGTGAGGTGCACTCTGTAGTACCTTGGAGCAGAACCCAGCGGAAGGAAGTCACGAGAAGCAACTTGATGAATGGGCCCACACTGCCTCAGGAAGCTACTTTGGAAGGCAGGGCCAGGACGAATAAAATCGTAACCCGGGACGCTGACCTGGAAGGTGCGGAAAGGAAGGCACCCGACCTGCACCTTCAGCTGCTCTTCTGCTCTTGCCTCAGATCAGATCCTGTTCACTTCCAGCCTTGAGCTGCTTTGTTTATCTCCTTCCGTCCTTTGACTCTTTTGCAGCCTTGGAGACAAACTTGATTCTCGGTCACTTCTCTAGAAAGATTGTGTGCGGTGCACAAAGCCTTCCGTCGATTCAGGAGGCCAGTTGAGGTGCAAAGATATTTGCCAAGATATCTGGAAATGCGCCAGGTATTATTGGAACCGCGGATTGGCGGGTCCCGGTATCTCGTTCGGAGAGTCTCAGCGTTGGTATCAGTCTCAGCCTCAGCTTTCCATCTATAGATGAATTCAAGACGGATGTAACCCAAGACTTGAAGATCAATGTTCTGCCGGGTCCTGAAACGGCAGGGCCCAGATTTGGGACCAAACAAAGAAACGAGAACAGAGGAAAGAAGCCCTATCGGATTAGATGGCGTCGTTGTTTAACGGATAGTGTAGCTGGAGGCCAAGAGGATCCGGATCTGGAAGTAGTTTGAACTGTGGTATCGAACGGACGGGACCGAAGTGAAGCATCAGAAAATTTGGCGATCTATTTGACAGACTGGATCCCAGTAGGCCAGGCGTTGTCAGGCACAGAGAGCCCCTAGTCGAATCGGATTGCAGAGGCAGAGCCGCTAGCGGGGTCTAGGGTCTTATCGATAAAGTGACAGGCCACTTACGCACCTCGGTGTAGCCAGTCCGGTCCTGGCAGTGACCACTTCGCCGACGGGACGTTTGGATTGTGCCTGCGACGTCTAAGATATTTCCAGATTCGTGACATGGGGGTAAAGAGCGGGGCGACTGTAGGAATAATACCTAGCAATTGCATGGAGAATTTCTTTGGCAATCACCACCATGGGATTTCTCTCCCGTTCTTGTGCATAATATATCGGCAACTTTCATACTTTCCCCTGGAATTGTGCTTTCTGAAAAGATACCAAGAGGCAAGAGAAGAGCGGGAAGGCGCGAAAGCCAAGGGAGATCGCATCTGTAACCAAGGGGAGGAGGGGATCGACTGAAGCAAAATAATACCTAGCGACTGGGGAAGGAGCTGGAGAAGACTGGAGAAGGCATGGAACGCGAGAGGCATGAGGCGACTACCTAGTAGGGAGAAGCACTTCCACCACTGAAACTAACCGAATACCTCCTACAGACCCATCAGGATGAACAACGCGAAGCAAGACAAAACCTCACCTTACCTCACCTCACCAAAAATACTCACCGGTCGGGCCTCACCTCTATTAAATGATGGTTTCTTAGAGGCGAGTCCGCACATTCCGCACCCCTGGTTGAGCACTTTCAACAGAGATAAGCTTCTAATTCTGTAGTTTTGGTTGGTTCTTTGCGTAGTCTACTGTCTCATAACGCATGAGCAAGCCAAGAGCGGCAGACAAGTCGACTTCTCGGCTCTCATCCTCCGTGCCAACATGCCTCCATCATGGATTGTCTCATTGGTTATCAACAGTTGGTGCGTGGCAGAACGAGTCTCACAAGCCAGACTGTTCTCTCTCAAAGGTGCCGCATCTGAATTAGAAATGCAATCGTCCAACGGTAACTCGACCCCACGTGTGAAGGCTCCATCGCCTATTTCCCAATCTCCGATGACGGCACGCCCTCCTGGCCGGCCCCCGCCGGCCACGACTGCAAGTCATACTCCCATCGCTAAACGCTCTTGCAAGCTCCTAGTCGCAACGCGTGTCGGCCGTATCTCCTCTCCGCACTTCGCTTCAGATGACGCTTTCGCCATCGCAGATCCAGCAAGCGTTCCTTGACATCTTGGCGAGACTGCCTCTGCAACGGAGCAGTTGGTCCCTTGATTGTCGTCGAGGTGGCCATGACAGTGGGCTTCTAGAAAGCGAACGGCAAACCCTGCCGCGAACCCCTCACGATGCATGCGGGGTCAGCAGCAGAAGCGGAATAGACTACCAGAGACTAATAACGCCTAAACTTCGACACCTGGTGGAGACCACAGAGTGGCGGCGCGGCGGCAATATCAGAAATGAGGAGTGCGAATGAGGGCCGCGCCGCCGGCGTCTGGAGCACCTGGAATTGCCAACCCTCCCCTCCACACTAGAGATTTAGGAGCTGAGAAGTCACAATTGTCTTTGCTGCAGTCCGCATCCTGCAGTGTAACAGGAGAACCTTCTGCGAAAGAGTCTTGGAGTGGGGGTCCCACGCCAAATTCCTCCTTCGTCATCCATGCCGAGTCCCTGTTTCTGGCGTGAAGCATGAGAGCAACCTCGCAACTGGACTGTTGAAGATGATTGGCCGCTGCGGTTGAGTTACCAGTGGCCATTGGCATGGCGGGATGACTGGGCGTTGAGTGCAAGCCTCACTCGCCCCGAGAACGATGACATGGCGTCCTCAGACTTTGGCGGGACATACGGATCACTATCCCGCCATTCTGTAGGCTGTCTTGTGTATGTACACAATCGGGCTCACCATGGGCTTTTCCGTTTCACAGGGGCGAGATCCCAATGTGCTAGAAGGGCATTTGGGTGACATCACCGCCCAGACCTGAGTGAAGATGAGCATCATGAGCCATCTTTCTTTGCAGAAATGTCTAGGAAGATCAGGCTGGCTGGTGTTTGGCAGTGACAGAATGCTTGCTGTCAAGACTCAAAAGCAGCCCTGGCATCCCCACAACACGTCGAGCAACTGGTAGGGGTTCCGTGAGGGGTTCACAGGTTCGCCAGGAGCGCAGCGGATCCTTGGTGGGAGCGGATCTCCGGGGGCGTGGAGGTTCCTTTTCCAGCCTCCGGACTTCGGGGTGATTCCGACAGAAGGTCAGCCCAAGCGCTAGGTGAGTTGTTGCAACGCCAACAGAATATGTAATGACCATCACCGGCACGCGACCCTGGAGATGGTGTGTGTCAAATCATGTTGTGCACCCTTCTCGGAGACGCCTTGTTGAGCGCCGCCGGAGACTTGTTGCAGCACATCGGAGGGCTACCTGTTGCTACACCCACTACTGGATAGTACCTACTCATTCAGCAAGAAATAATCGAGAGAGGTAACCTCGAAAAGGGGCTATCAAAGCTAGGTACGTGGCCACCTACAGTAGAAATGGAACAAGGCGATCAACCGCAAGGATAAGCTTTGGGCAAGTGTCGAAGGCGTGTTGGCGAGGGCTGATGTGAGTGGTCTATTCCGGTTGGCTTGGCTGAGAGCTGGAATGCTTGAGAAAGATGGGATGGTTGTAGAATAGCTCTGGTGCCGGCACAAGTTGATTCAGGAGGGGACTTGGCGGCCGATTACTCTGCTCATCTGAGTCGTGAAACATTTGGGTGGGAAGGGAAGTGGAAAGGGCAGAACGGATCGACGGGGTATCTCCGACAAGCCCGGTGAGCGAAGCACAGCACAGCACAGCAAAGCCAGGCCAGGCAGGCCACACCTCGTCCAGCACTCGAGCGCTGAGCGAGCAGAACGGTGAGAAGCAGGAAAGGACTGACGTGGGACCTGGCCGTCCGAGTTACATTGTCCGTATTACGGATACTTTTTCTCTCCTCGACTTTCCATGTCTGCAGGAATAATATCACCCACGGAGCTAAGGTAAGGTATGCTCACGGGCAACACGGTACACGCACACAGACCGGGCGGACCAGACGAGCATGGAGGATGGAGCACGGCGACACGGAGGACAGGACCCAGGCATACGGGGAGACGCAAAGGATGGGGCCGGCCGTCATGACGGTGTTTGGGGATTTAATTTTGGACGACGGGACGGAGGGTTTGTGTTTGTTGAGGTTCTTTTTTGCTGTTACTGTAACGGGCTGTGCTGGTGCACGGAAACGCATGTGGCTCTCTCTCAACCCGCTGTGCTGGACAAATCCCCAATCCATGGTCCATGGCCAGACGGCGATTGTCAGGACTCCTGTCCAGGTCCAGGCCTAGGTTGAGCTTGAACCTGAGCCTGAGCTTGAACTTGCACGAATGGTAGCTTTGGATAGGCATGAATGGCTTTAAACTTGGCGGACGGAAGATTGACGTGGGACATGGACATGGGACAAGACCGAGGGCGTGGGCGGATGGGCTTCTGGCATTGGACCAAGACACCAATAGGTAGCGTACCCGGGCGGCCAGCTCCCGAGTCCAGAGTAAGGTAAGGTAAAACAGACTGTGGACACGTACATCCAGCAATAGAAAGACAGAAATAATGAGCTTCGTTTGTTGGCGTTGCAATGTTGACAACGTAAGCTCTGGCAGACGACCTTGCACGTAGGAACTCGAACTGTTTACCTCAGGCCAGACATAGGTATAAGGGGGTTCTGGAAATGATGCCCAGCCTTTTTTCTTCCTCAGGTTTCTCTATCAACTCCCAGGTCTCGAGTCGCCCGGGGCCTTTGAGCTCGGCCGTACTGTATTTTCCCCATCAGAAAACCAACAGCAGAAATCATGCGTTGGATGGATAAGTACCCGTAAAGGGACCGACATATTGCCCAGGACAGTTTGGGTTACTAAGAATCCTCGATGGATACGTAGAAGGAAAGAAGGAAAAAAACACGTGAAATGACCTCAGGAAAGGTGGGAAATGGAATGCTGTCAATCTCGTTCGTGAGCCCTGCCAAACGGACGGGAAGGTACGATGGCCTAGGATAGGGCGCGCGCGGCTGCCTTGAACCGTCATGTCACCTCACCTTTGGAAAGAGTGAGTCCACTTTGGAAAATAGTTCTTTCCCGTTCGCTTCCCAAGTTCTCAACCACTCTTGCTCTTTCGCATGTCCCGTTCGCTCGGGCACAGACGCAGGGCCATACGGCACGTCTACATCGCCCGGTTTGGGCCTTCCCCCGTTTTCCGTCTTGTTGCGTGTACCAAACCGTTGGGCTGGCAGACAGGTAGGTATCGAGATCGAGAGACAGAGACAGAACACAGCGTACCAGACAAGAAAGAGAGGGCACGCCAAGCGCTTAGACTGCTCCGTTTGAAAGATGCGACCCGCCGCCGGGTGCGAATGGATGGCTGGAAGGTATGGATACGCGCCGCCGCCCTCTCTCTTTCCCCAAACCCCGAAATCAAATCTCCAACTCCCCTTGTAAAATGGAAGGAAGAAAAAATTCCCTCCCCCAAAAATTAGAGAGAAGAAGAAAAAAAGCACCATCCCGCGCCGCCACGGGTCTAGCATCCCAGGGCTCCGGTGCCAGGAGAGGCTCGACAGGGTCGCAGACGGGGGTACCTTGCTAAAACGAAATGCACCCTGGATCGCTGGAAAGGGCACATCGGCGACCGGTCACCGAGCATGCAGCACCGACCCAATTAGAGGCTCCACCGAAGGGAACCGCTCCAGAAGCAGAACACAGCTGCAGGGCAAGCCCCGAATTTCGAACGTGGTGGTACTGCTGGCTGGTGTGTGTTGGAGTCATTGGGGGCGGCGGAATGCGACAGGAGAGAAATGGGACAGTTGCGAGTGGTTCCTGCACACAACGGTTCTATTGCGGTGATTCTGTCAATTTTCGAGTACCTGCGTATCTGTAAGGTAGATACGGACTCCAAGGTAAGGTGCGACTAGACACCTAGTCTGTACCTGCCCAGCATTGGTTTCCCGTTTACAGATTACAGAGTACAAACACAGCCAAGAATGTACTATTGTATCGCGCCAAGAAGATTCTTTCTAACCTTGGATGTCGAGTTTCTTCTCACACGCCTCACGCCTCACTCTTTTCAAACAGAAGAAGGTACTCCATCTTCAGACACACCTCGTCTTCAACAAGGCCAGCCATGCAGAGGAGGAGTATCCGTACCTTACTCCGTACCATACCTCAGTCGAACATGCAATGGGAAAAGGCAGGGCAGGGCAGGGCTCTCTGCAAAATAAGGCAGTGAGGAGCCTGAGGAGTCCTCGGACGGGCCTTCTCCTTGCTCACCCTCACCCTGTCCCGTCCCTCGTCCCCGTTCATCGAACCCTCGCCCTCACTCACAGGCTCACCCTCACTCATAGTCTCATACAGCCCAGATCCATTCTCACCTCACCCCATCCATCCCATACCGTCCCATCCTGAGGTGTCTTGCTCTGTGCTGCCCATCACTCATCCAGGGCCACCATCCCATTACCCATCGCCCATTGCCTCGACCGTACCACTAAAGTAGATATATCGGTCCTTCCTCCGTCGACGGGCTCCATCGCTCTGACCCTCCCCTCTTCTTTCTATCCTCTTTAACCTGACAGACCCATCCATCCCGAACACATTAGAATCTTCTTTCTTTTCTGTCCTTGTTGTCCCACAGCCTTTTTTTATTGATACCTCTTTATCTATCCAGCCAGTTGCTTTGTGTGTCTTCTTTTGCTTGCACTGCAACTCTCGCCATCCATCACTGCCATACAATTCTACAAAGTATTTGGCATTCTCATCCATCGTAGTCTATCTGTACCATCAACCTACAGGTAGTGAACTACAGTGCTCTGTCTCTGTATAGAGTAGATATATCCTCGTCCTCGTCCTCCTCCGCACCAGCCAAGATCGCATTGCACTTACACGCGCTGTGTTCCTTGTCTTGTTCCCCTCTCAACACTTTTTTCTCTCATTCCGCCCAGACCACGCCTGCTGCGAACCCGGCAAGACCCCTGCACGCTAAGGCAAGAGCTAGCCATCTTGGACGCCACATTTCATCACCCACCCTGGGACAGCTCGACCAGCTTCCCCATCCTAGCGCAGCGATTGGGTACAGGGCCTCTTAACTGACCCCGAAGAGAGAATTCTCACAGCAAGAGCAGCCCAGGAAGCCCAGGAAGCAGGTGCACCCAGCTAAAGCAACAAAGCGGCGACTGCTCTAAACGGCAGGCCCAGCCAACCACAGCTACCATACCCAGGCGCACACCCTGTGTGACTCCTTCCTTTTACAAAGGGTCGTCGGCGTAGTCTTTTTTTTCCCACGCCTGCCGCCTGCCTCGCATATTCGCATCCATGCCTTCCGCAATCTTTCCTGATCACCACCCAGGTCCGTACAAACCACACCTCTCCAGTCCACCACCCAAGCTATTCTTTTTTTTTCTCCCCTTCTACCTCTGCACGCCCAAATCTCAACTCTTCACCACTTTATTCTTGTCTACCGCCGTCACTATCGACATATTCATTCTTGAACAAGCTTTTGAGTATTAACATACCCTTTTCCATACAAAAAGACCTTGGTCTTATACAGGCCAAGCAATCTGCTCTGGCGAAGTTGGCCATGAGCTCCAACAAGGATTCACGCGCCCCTTCGTCATCGCCTCCCTTCCACTCCAACAAATCGACCGCCGCCACGAACTCGAACTCGAACTACCTCACTGAGCCCCAGGCACTGCCAGTTTCTCACCCTCACGATGGCCTTCTCCCGCCTCCAGCTATGGCGCATGCCGTTCGATCTATGAACGACTTGAGTGGCCCGATCGCCCTCCGCGATCGCTCCTTGGTCGCAAACTCCGATACCCCTCCTGCGATGCGCAGCGTGGTTTCGACCGCTCCGAATTCCCCTAGAATGTACGTATAGAACCGAAAAAAAATATTTTCAGATCGGTGCCATCCTGAGGGAATACTCCTTCCCTCCTGGTGGCTGAGCATTTTACAACATCCTACACTCCTCATATTCTGGAGCTTGGCTAATGGAATAAACCAACAGCCCGCCTGTCAGACAGAATTCTGGAGGAACCACTCCCCGCCTTCGCCCCCACCCCGCCACACTCAATGTTCCTGGCATGACTGTCTCGAGAGCCTCGCCCGACGGCAAGATTAGTGACCGCGATGTCGCTGCGAAGCTGGTTATCGTCATGGTTGGACTTCCCGCGCGCGGAAAGTCCTACATTACCAAGAAGGTCCAGCGCTACCTGTCTTGGCAGCAGTACAGCTCTACAATCTTCAATGTCGGCAATCGCAGACGCGTGGCTGCCGGCATGAGTTCCCCGATGAAGCCTGCCTACTCGCCCGCTGCCGTTAGACTCGACCCGCCGGCCCAGGCTGCTTCGATCCTGCTTAATGGTCATGCTTCCCGTGGCAATAAGGAGCCTGCGGAGCTGAACCTCAATGAGGAGAGCGACGGCATTGACCAGTCCGCCAAGTTCTTCGACCCAACCAACGAGACTGCGGCCAAGATGCGGGAGCAGGTGGCCTTGGACACTCTGGACGAGCTTCTGGACTACCTTCTGCACCAGGGCGGTTCCGTCGGCATCCTCGATGCGACAAACAGCACTATTCACCGCCGCCAGCTTCTGGTCGACCGAATCAAAGCGCGCGAGCCCAAGCTCGGAATTCTCTTCATCGAGAGTATCTGCCATGACCAAAATGTAAGTGCTCTCATCGCGCTTGTCTCTGAAAATCTCATCTGACGTGTTTGCAGCTTCTCGAGGCCAACATGCGCCTGAAGCTTTCTGGCCCCGACTACAAGGACAAGGATCCTCACCAGTCTCTTGCTGATTTCAAGAGACGTGTGGCCGCCTATGAGAGCGCTTATGTCCCCCTTGGAGAGTACGAGGAGGCCCACGATATGCAGTATATTCAGGTATGTTCAAGCCCTGGCGCATGGAACCACAAGTCGCTAACGCGCCGCCAAAGATGATTGATGTTGGCCGCAAGCTGGTCCAGTATAGATTGCGGGGCTTCCTGAGCGGCGGCATCAGCTCTTACCTGACGACATTCAACCTTGCGCCGCGCCAGATATGGTTGACCCGGCATGGACAGAGTGTCGATAACCGCAATGGAAAGCTCGGCGGAGATTCCGACCTCACCGCCGACGGAGAGCTTTACGGACAGGCTCTCCACCGATTCATGACCCAGAAGCGCAAGGAGTGGCTCATTGAGCAGAAAGATAAGATCGCTCAGTCGTCATTCCCGCCTAAGGCCGGCGACCACACCCCGCCGTATCCCGAGCTGAATCGGGAACTGGACGAGAAGAATTTCTGCGTCTGGACCTCGATGCTTAAGCGCAGCGTGCAGACGGCACAGCAGTTTGACAATGACGACGACTACGACGTCAAGGCTTGGGCGGTGCTGAACGAGCTCAACGCTGGCCTCTTTGAGGGCATGACGTATGAGGAGATCGCCAGAAGATTCCCTGCCGAGTATAAGAAGCGCGCTGCGGATAAGCTCCATTACACCTACCCGGGTGTCGGTGGAGAAGGATATCTCCAGGTCATCGCTCGCTTGCGCGATATTGTCCGCGAGATCGAGCGTATCGAGGATCACGTTCTCATTGTTGGACATCGCTCGGTCTGCCGTGTGCTCATGGCTTACTTTATGGATTTATCCCGTGACGAGATCGCCGACTTGGACGTTCCTCTGGGCATGCTCTACTCTATCGAGCCTAAGCCCTACGGCTACGACTTCCACGCGTACCGCTACCTGCCGGAGAAGGGAACGTTCATCGAGCAACCCAACTACCGCCCGCAGCGCACCGTTAACCGCGACGCTTGAGATCAGAGCCAAAGACAGGCTTTGACTGTATCATATGACGACCTGTACAACACGAATGGAATTCCGGAAAGGAGTTTTGGGCGTTGAGGAAAACTCAACTACGACCACGATTTTGCTCATTTTTTGGAAGGGGGGACTTTTTTCTTTTTTGGAAGGGCGTGGGAAAACACGATCCCACACACATGATTTGCTCTTACTTTGCTACTACTTGAACCAGGGACTTCTTCAACCTCGGAGGCGGGAAGGGGATTGAAGCATTTGCTCGGCGTTCGGGAATCCAATACGGCCATCTGACGAAAGAGGTCAAAAAGATACCCATTACGCAAAGATTCACGAGGACCATAGCCGGACGGCCCTCTCATTGCTCAATTTTGTAAGGCTTGTTCACAAACACAAGCAATTAGGTTCTTCTAGGCAGATAGGAGACAAAAGTCTATCACATGAACATGCTGTGCCTGCCTTTTCGGTGAAGTGATGTTGAATGATGGTGTAGTGCCCAAAGATCTTTGGGATCTGACTAAACAGGCTTTCCTTTCCGAAGATCTGGATGGCTTGACTAACAAAGTGACAATCTGACGTTGCCTTGTTGCGTGTCACTGCACTGTCTAGGCTGTGGACCGACATCCTGTAGGATTGACAGACAGTGGAGGCTCCGCCGAGGTGCACTAGCGTCCGTTCGGCAGATGTAACCGTAGAACCAACCCATGGGTAATGTGATGTGATGTGACAGGACAAGGGGGGAACCGTCATTTGTTTCTTTGGCATGTCTTGTTCCTGACAAGCCTCTAGTACGTAAGGTAGGGCGGCGGGATGGGAAGGTGCTGGGTTGGGGGATGTGAGGAGTGTGGCGTGACACACACACCCGATCCAGATCTGCGGGTGTGCCCGGGAGAGCCGCACCGGGTGAAACTCGGCGTTGATTGAGGCTCAAAGGGCCCGGCGGTGTTCACCCCCTTGTTCGTTGGCGTCCTCTTTGTCACGAGGTTTGGCGGACCGAATTTTGATATTCGGGCCGAGGGTTTCTACGAACGGCAGGTTTTTGTGGCTCGGTTTAGATGGTATTTGGCGTCTGGAGATAGGGGGTTTATCTGGTTATAGATGGTGGAGTCGTGAGCTGAAGGGTTGGGTGATGTTGATAGGGGTTTTGGGGGTCGAGGATAGGTGTGGTGTGATTGTGAGACAATGTAGATATGGCCGTATCTAGCGGAAGGTCTCAATTGTAAGGCTCAGTTCTTTAGGATGCTGAGACCATGATGCAGGATGAAAGACGTGTTGAGAGCAATGACTATACCAGTACGTCAGGGTCCGGGTTCATGATCATGCAAATGTTCTCCTGCCGAGAGCTCTAGGGAGCTTCACTGGGCCTGTGGAGGTTTGGACCTTTGCAGTCATCCCAAAAGCGACCCTTGTTTCTATGCATTCACTTTGTATGTATCTCCAAGCGCGCCGCTCTAAGCATTCGTGTGCCTCCGGTAGAAGTTACTTCAGCGCTATTGCAAAGTCGGTATGGAGAGACACGATGCTTGAGTCTGCCTCAGCTGCCTTTCCTTGTTCTCCATCGTTCCTCCTCTCTCATGGTCGAAGGAAGCTCCGATAGCCTGGGTTAGTTCGCATTCGCCTCGGTAGATCCTGGGTATACCAGGCCTCGATGACGTGATCGAGGTGAAGCCCGCCCATAGCTTCTGGTTCCTTGGCCACTTATATGGTATGCTTCATACACAATCTTGACTAGGAACGGGGTAAGCCAGCAACTTCTGAGGATTATTTTCACGGCGTTGATATTCTTCACTAACATCCGTTGCCAGCTTCAAGATGCCATAACTGACGAAGGTAACAAGGCCCTCATATAAATCCAGCTAGGCTACCGATACGTTCTTTTGCCCATCTCCCTGGCTTGGCGCTTTCAAAAGTTCTCAAAGGAGATCCACGTTGAAAATGGCTTTGGTTGCGAACCGCTGCGGAGTTCTCATTTTCTGAAGGAAGGCAGAGCGTTTCTATATCATATTCGAGTATAGTTGCCACCAAAGGTGATCGTCTTAAGGTGTGTGTAGTTGAGCTTGTATTGTTGGTCATCTATCTGGGGCGCGTCGCCCTTGTAGGTTGTGTGTGTGTGTGTGTGTGTGTGTGTGTGTGGTACGTATCGTACATAACCGAAGGGATGGGTAGCAACAAGTTATCCATCCTTAAGCGTCGAGCTCTACTCGACACGTATTCTGGACAGAATACCCCAAGGCGGTTCGGCGCATGGGCATGCTGAGTTTTGTTCAACCTGAGATCAAGACTGGGATGGCCGGCTTACCCAGTATATGCTAAACACACCGTCATCGAGGCCATTGGTCCTCAGAAAGATGGCACAACTGCTATCGCGGAAAACTGGCCTAGGTGGTATCGACGGCCTTGATATCCCCAAGCCTGCCGGTGATGAGATTATATAACCCTAGAAAGTATCAGATTTGTTGACAGATCGACGATGTGTCCGAAGAGGAGCTTAAAGCATTACGTCAAACCCACCGGGAAACTGAGGGGGGCGTGGAGATGAATTAATTCTGTCCGCTCACGTTGAAAAAGGGAGATTGCTACCACCTCCACAATTTCTCAGTGACTCTGAAGATGAAGAGATTGGTTAGGATACTATTGAGACCTAATCGGTCCGGAAGTGAGCGGCTCCTGGTCGAGAACATGATCTACTCCCCCAGTCTCATGCGGTGCTCCGGGCTCGAAGATCAAGGAAGACTCGAGCGCCGATAAGGGCATCTTAGTATCTGTCTCTCAAACAAGACTTCACATACGAAGAACATAACGTGTGTTCCCCCCGAGGTAAAGCTAGGCGGCGACCGTCGAACCTCGATGAGATTCGAGCAGCATACACTCATCAAAGCTCGTGGCCTCTTTTACAGTACGGAGATCTACCTCCGTATGCCTGACCTCTAGTGAGGCGTGAATCTCAATAAAGCCTAGAAGCCTATGCATTCTTTGGATAATCCTAGGAAAGAAAGTTGTAGCGAATGGAACTCACCATCCATCCCCATACCTAGAGGGGAAACCGTCACAGGCATTTTGAGAGATGGCATGTGGAAGCCGACATGCGCTACTCTACAATACACGTCGTCTTTGAATCTTCTTGAACTTCCAGGCCAGCCATGGTAGGCTGAAGGGCCACTAGAAGTCATTTCTCCAGACGCTCGATCCGGTGTAGCTTTGTCTTGCTCACACCTTCTCTCCGCCCGCCGATTTCGCTGGACACACCGTCACCATGTACCTACAAGGCTATATATACCTCACTCCCTCTCGTCGTGTTCCAGAACTATTGATATGACCATCTAGAATACGTGACGGACACCGCCCAGAGTTGGCGAGGAGCAAATAGCAAACTGAATGTCGATTCTTTCGTACTGCTCTACTAATGCCTGGCCATGTGAGATATTGCTACCTGGTGGAACCAGGAAGAGCAAATTGCTGCTGGGTTGACAAGTAATTGAGGTAATAGCATACCTATATATAGTACTCTGAGGCAAAGGGCCGCGGATATCATATACAAACACTCGATTAGCACGAGAGATGTCTCGGGCGCTTCGAATCGCAACAGCAAACATGGTTTCAGTAGAACACATAAACACAGAGACAAAGATGTCAGATCAACTCTCGTCTTAAAGCCTGCAAACTTGAGGCTGCTTTCTTTAGTAACTATCCCTCACGACCAAATTTGCTTGTGCGTGTAAGCTGGCCAGGCTCTTAGACTTCTTCGCGCGCGCCTGTTTGGGAAGACCTGAGCCTATATGTCATACCACGGACAAAGCACCGCGCGGATGTCTACCTGATACTACATGCATATATGTGTACCGGTCATCCCCAAAGATCAAAGTCCCAACAAACCTAAATCGTGTCTAGCAACTACAGACAGATGGGATCACCGGTCATCGTGTATGCCAGACAAGTGCCATATCATCATTATCACTTCAAGAGACCTCGGACCAGAAGTTTTTATGAACAAATTTACTATTGTTTCACATATTTACATAAAGCAAAATGGTATAAACACCAAACCACAAGCCACTCATCCGTTGACCAAATGACTCGACCAAAGGACAGCAATATAACAAAGGGCAAAACAGAAAAAAACCGACAAGCCAACACAATATTTGTCGCTCATAAAGCACGGGGTTTTGAGGGTATCAAACAAGACACCTTTTTGTAGTGTAGGGTATTTCCAGGAATTCCAATGTCTCCCCTCCCACACGCCTTTTGTTTTCGACCCGATGCCCCTCGTTGACCTCGCGGTCACTGTAAAAGCATCATTTCTTTTTATCTTTTCATAACACTTAGCTCCTTCTGTGAACGATGGAAGAGTGTTTAGGCCTGAACGGGCTTGATCTGAGTAAAGATCTCGCCGGCGGTGCGCTTGACGATACCGCCAGTTACGGGCAGGCTGGTGCACTGCTCGAGGAAGAGATCGATCTCGCGGGCGGCCTGTCTGCCCTCGTTGATACCCCAGACGATGAGGGACTGGCCACGGCGGCAGTCACCGGCAGCAAAGACGCCGGGGATGTTGGTGCTGTACTTGCCAGGCGGGGTCTTGACATTCTTGCGGGCATCCTTCTCGATGTCGTCACCGAGGATGCGGGCTTCGGGGCCGAGGAAACCCATGGACAGGAGGACGAGGTCGGCAGGGAAGAACTGCTGGGAGCCCTCAATCTTCTTCATATCCCAGCCACCAGTCGCGGAGCGAGTCCACTCGACGCGGATGGTGTTGATGCCCTTGACCTTTCCGGAGCCATCGTCGACGAACTCCTCGGACATAATGCAGAACTCACGGGGGTCCTTGCCCATGTGCTGCTTGACCTCGGTGTGGCCGTAGTCAACACGGTAGATGCGGGGCCACTGGGGCCATGGGTTGTCGCGGGCACGCTCCGGGGGAGGCTGGGGAAGCAGCTCAAAGTTGATGACGGACTTGGCGCCGTGACGGACGGAAGTACCGATACAGTCGTTACCGGTGTCACCACCACCAATGACAACGACGTCCTTGCCCTTGGCGGAAATGTAGGAACCATCCTCGAGCTCAGAGTCGAGCAGGGACTTGGTGTTCTTGTGCAAGAACTCCATAGCGTAGTGGATACCCTCGAGCTCGCGACCCTTGATGGGAAGATCACGGGCAACGGTGGCACCAGTGGCGATGACGACAGCGTCGTTCTCAGCTCTGAGGTCCATGAGCTGGATGTCCTCGCCGACGGCAACACCGCATTTGAAGTTGATACCCTCAGCAGCCATGAAGTCGGTACGGCGCTTGACAATGCGCTTGTCGAGCTTCATGTTGGGGATACCGTACATGAGAAGACCACCAGGGCGGTCAGCACGCTCGTAGACAGTGACGGTGTGACCAGCGCGGTTAAGCTGATCAGCAGCAGCCAGACCAGCAGGGCCGGAGCCGATGATGGCAACCTTCTTGCCGGTGCGGACCTCAGGGGGAGTGGGGATCATCCAGCCCTGTTCGAAACCACGGTCGATGATGGCACACTCGATGGACTTGATACCAACGGGGTCCTCGTTGATGCCCAAAACGCAGGCACCCTCGCAAGGAGCAGGGCAGACACGGCCAGTGAACTCGGGGAAGTTGTTGGTCATGAGCAGACGGTTGAGAGCATCACGCCATTGGTTCCTGGAGTGACTGTTAGCTTTTGATACAACACACACGTTCAATCTAACAGATGGATACTTACTGGAACACCAATTCGTTCCACTTGGGAATGATGTTGGAGATGGGGCAACCCGTCTCAGACTGGCAGAAGGGAACACCGCAGTCCATACAACGAGCAGACTGGTACTTGAGCTCGTCCTCATCAAGACGGGAGGAAAGCTCGGCCCAATCCTTGGTACGGGTCTTCGCGCTCCTGTACTTCTCAGCACGGCGCTGGTACTTCATGAAACCCTTGGTCTTGTCGAGGACAAGGGCACGCTTCTTCTCGGCAGCATTGTCACCAATGGTCTCCTCGATATCCTGGAGCTTGGCAGCCTTCTCCTCCTTCTTGTTGTGGACACCGGAGACGATGGGCAGGTTGTACTCGGCGCGCTTGGCCTCAGCAGCCTTGGCGGCCTCCTCCTTGAGGACGCGCTTGTAGTCGACAGGCATGACCTTGACGAAGCGGGGAAGAGCACGGTTGAAGTCAACCAAGATGCGGGCAGCAAGCTCGGAGCCAGTGTAGTGGTGGTGGTCCTCAATGAGACCGCGAAGGTAGGCGATCTCAGTGGGCTCCTCGACAGCCTCGGCCTCAACCATCTCAGTGTTGAGCTTAGAGAGGAAGTCCTTGTGGATGTCGAGGACGTAGGCGATACCACCAGACATACCGGCAGCGAAGTTGCGGCCAGTGCTGCCGAGAATGACGACTCGGCCACCAGTCATGTACTCGCAACCGTGGTCACCGACACCCTCAACAACAGCGGTAGCACCGGAGTTGCGGACAGCGAATCTCTCAGCCGCAACGCCGCGGAAGAAGCAAGTACCCTTGGTAGCACCGTACAAGCAGACGTTACCAACGATGATGTTCTCCTCGGCCTTGAAGACCGCGGAACGGGGAGGGTAGACAATCAGGCGACCGCCGGACAGACCCTTGCCAACGTAGTCGTTGGCGTCACCCTCGAGCTCGAGAGTAACACCAGGGGCCAGGAAGGCACCGAAGGACTGACCCGCGGAACCCTTGATGTTGACGTGGACCGTGTCCAAAGGCAGACCATCTTCACCGTAGCGCTTGGAGATGTGGTAAGACAGCGAGGTACCCATCGCACGATCAGTGTTGACAATGTCACACTCGATTCTAGAGGGGAGTCCCTTGTCCAGGGTCAACTCGGCCTCAGAGATGAGCTTGTTGTCCAAGCGGACGTAAAGCTTGTGGTCCTGCTTGCGGACATTGAAAGTAGCAACACCGGGGCGGAGCTTGTGAGCAGGAGTCAGGAGGAGAGAGAGGTCGATGTTGGCGGTCTTGTTGGTGCGCAACTCGTCGTTGACCTTGAGAACCTCGACGTGACCAACCATCTCGTTGATAGTGCGGAAACCAAGCTTGGCCATGATGGCACGGAGCTCGTTGGCAACGTAGTAAAAGAAGTTGATGACGTGCTCGGGAGTACCGGTGAACTTCTTACGGAGCTCAGGGTCCTGGGTAGCGATACCAACAGGGCAAGAGTTCAAGTGGCACTTGCGCATGAAGACGCAGCCCATGGCGATAAGAGGAGTGGTAGCGAAGCCCCATTCCTCAGCACCGAGCAAACAGGCCATGGCGACATCACGACCAGTGCGGAGTTGACCGTCAGTCTGGACAACCACACGGCCACGGAGGTCGTTCAGGACCAAAGTCTGGTGGGTCTCGGCAAGACCAAGCTCCCAGGGAAGACCAGCATACTTGATACCAGTCCAGCGGGAGGCACCGGTACCACCATCGTGACCAGAGATCAGGATGTGGTCAGCCTTGGCCTTGGCGACACCGGAGGCGACGATACCGACACCAACCTCGGACACCAGCTTGACGGAGACGCGAGAGCGGGGGCTGGAGCACTTGAGGTCGTAAATCAACTGCTTCAAATCCTCAATGGAGTAAATGTCGTGGTGAGGAGGAGGCGAGATGAGACCGACGCCAGGGGTGGAGTGACGAGTGCGAGCAATGGACTTGGACACCTTGTGACCAGGAAGCTCACCACCTTCACCGGGCTTTGCGCCCTGGGCCATCTTGATCTGAAGCTCGTCAGAGTCTGCGAGGTAAGCAGAGGTGACACCGAAACGGCCAGATGCAACCTGCTTGATGGCAGATCGCATAGTGTCGCCGTTGGGCAGACGCTGAGAACGCTCAGGATCCTCACCACCCTCACCAGTGTTGGACTTGCCACCAAGTCTGTTCATGGCAACGGCCAGAGTGGAGTGAGACTCCATGGAGATGGAACCATAAGACATGGCACCAGTACAGAAACGGCGCACAATCTCGGTCCAGGGCTCGACCTGCTCGATGGGGACGGGGGTGCAGTCCTCGAACTTGAAGTCGAGCATACCGCGGAGAGTGCAGGCCTTGATCTGCTCGTACTGGGAGCGGGAGTACGCCTCGTAGGACTTGTCGTTCTTGGTGCGAACGGCATCCTGGATGTTGGCAATGCAAGTGGGGTCGTTCATGTGAGCCTCACCACCATCACGCCAGTGGTACTCGCCAGACTCGGGCAGACCGCTGATACCGACAGTAGCACGGGAGGGGAAACCACGCTCGTGGAAACGGAAAGCATCCTCGGCGATAGCCTCGAACGTAGCACCCTGGATACGAGAAGCAGTACCCTTGAAGCAGCGCTCGATGACGCTCTCGTCGAGACCGAGAGCCTCGAAAATCTGGGCACCCTTGTAGGAAGCAAGAGTAGAGATACCCATCTTGGACATGACCTTGAGAATACCACCATCGCAAGAGTGCTTGTAGTTGTGGATCAGAGCATCATCGGAGAGCTTCTTCTTAATAAGCTTCTCGCGGTTGAGCTTGAGGATGCACTCCATGGAGAGGTAAGGGTTGATAGCATCGGCACCGTATCCGAGGAGAACACACATGTGGTGAACCTCGCGAGCCTCAGCAGTCTCAACGACGATGGCAGCCAGAGAACGCCACTTGTTGCTGACCAGGTGGTGGTGAACCATACCGGAGGCAAGGAGGGCAGTGACGGGAACGCGATCCTTGGAGGTGTTACGGTCGGACAGAACAATGATGCGGTCCTTGTTCTCAATGGCAGCGGTAGTCTCGTTGCAGATGTAGTCGAGGTGGCGCAAGTAGCCCGCGGTGCCCTCGCTCTTGGGGAAGGTCAAATCAATGACCTTGACAGTCCACTCGGGGTGGATGGTGGACATGTTCTTGATAGAGTTGAACTCAGGGATCGAGAGGATGGGGCTGGGAAGCAAGAGACGACCGCACTGAGAGCTGTCCATCTCCAACAGGTTGCCCTGAGGACCGACGTAGCACTCCAGAGACATGACGATCGACTCACGAATAGGATCGATGGGGGGGTTGGTAACCTGAGCGAAGAGCTGACGGAAGTACTCGTACAAGAGACGGGGTGCTTGGGACAAGCATGCCAAGGGAGCATCGTTACCCATGGATCCGAGGGCTTCCTTCTCGTCAGAGGCCATAGGAGCCAGGAGCAAGCTCACCTGCTCGTGAGTGTAGCCGAAGGACAGAAGAAGAGGATCCTCCTGCAGACGGGAGGCGTCGGGCTTGGCGGCGACATCGATGGACTTGCCAACAGTCTCGAGAACCTTGGGCAGAGTGATGAGCTCCTGGTCGATCCAGGCGCGGAAGTCCTGACGGCTGGAGACAGCCTCCTTCAACTCCTTGTCGTCGATGATGCGGCCGGCGAGGGTGTCGACGAGCAGCATGCGACCGGGCTGGAGACGACCCTTCTGGATAACCTTCTCGGGCTCGACGGGAATAGTGCCGACCTCGGAAGCGCAAATGATGCGGTCGTCGTCCATAACGTAAAAGCGGCAAGGACGCAGACCGTTACGGTCGAGGTTGGCACCGCAGTAGCGTCCATCGGCAAAGGTGAAGAGAGCGGGACCATCCCAGGGCTCCATCTGGCAAGCAGCCCACTCGTAGAATGCGGCCTTCTTGGGGTCCATGTGAGTGTTGCCTTGCCAGGCCTCGGGGACCATGAGCATGACAGCCTCGGGGAGAGAGAGAACACCGTTGATAGTGAGCAGCTCCAGGACGTTGTCGAAGGCGGCAGAGTCGGAACCACCGTCCTCAACGATGGGGTAGAGGCCCTCAAGCTCCTCCTTGAAGATGTCGGACTGCATGACACCCTCTCGGGCCTTCATCCAGTTCTTGTTACCGCGGAGAGTGTTGATCTCACCGTTGTGGGCAGCCCATCTCAGAGGCTGAGCACGGTCCCAGGAGGGGAAGGTGTTGGTCGAGAAACGGGAGTGGACGAGGGCGAAGTGAGCCTCGTAGTCGGCGTTGACGAGGTCATAGTAGTACTGGTACACCTGGACGGGAGACAGCTGTCCCTTGTAGACAATGTTCTTGTTGGAAAGGGAACAGAGGTAGAACCAGTTCTGGAGACCAATGGTGTGGGTGGCGCGCTTTCTGAGGACATACAGCTGTCTTTCGAAGAGTCTGTCATCAAATTGCTCGGGGTCGGTGTTTTCGGGGGCATTGGTCGGGCCGTAGGCGGAGGTCAACACGACGAAAGGTTGCATAATGATGGGTTCACGGGACTTGGCAGCAGGACCAAGTAGAGTCGAGTCAACGGGAGGCCTTCGCCATCCCAAGACACGCAGGCCTAACGATTCGGCAATGTCTTCCAACTGCCTCTTGGACTCTTGCAAAGTCTCCTCGTCTGGCTTAAAGAACAGGTTTCCCGTGGCATATTGTCCCAGAGGCGGCAACTTAATGCCTTCCTCCTTTTCAAAGTTCTTGACAAAGAATCTGTGAGGGATCGAAGTCATGACGCCAGCGCCATCACCGTCTCGTGCATCAGATCCCACAGCACCTCTGTGGGTCATGTTGCAAAGCAGGTTGCGCGCTGTGAGACTGGTCAGCTTGGCTGCTGGGCAAACATTGAGCCAAGGAAATTGTTCAACTCACCATCGCTGACAATCTTGTGGCTAGGCTTGCCCTTGATGTGGCTGCGAGAGGTGTCAGTGGTTGCCTATGTAGAATTGAGAACAAGTCTCTGTCTGGTCTTCTAGACATACCAAGCAAAGCCGACACCGCATGCGTCTTTCTCCAAGCTCGGATCGTACAATCCTCTGCGTTCGATTGTCAGTATGGACATGTTGGAAGTGAGAAGGCGAGGAAACATACTGCTTCACCGGCAGAGCACCCGCCCAGGAGCCATTGTTGTCCGTCTGGTACTCATAGGGAGTGTATTGCTCTTTTTCAGATTCAATATGGATTTGTCGGTCGTCGAAGTCCTCGTGCAGGCCCATGCTAGGCGAGGATTCGAGCCTGATTGCAGTGGAAGGGGGTGGTATAGGTCGACGGGGGAGGGACTATTCCAGTCGGCAGCAGTCGATCGGTAGGAGCAATGGCTCTGGTACGAATCTATCACACCCCAAAACGGGTTCAGTTAGTGACGCTGAGGGACGAAGATGTGTTGGTCAAGTATGACTTTGGTTCGATGGTGGTGAATTGAGGGGGAGTAAACGCCCAATGACCAGACACAGGGTTGCACAGGGCACACGAGGGGTCTTGAGCCACGCAGAGACAGAGAGAGAGAGATAAGGCGAATGGTTGACGGTGAGTTCTGAGAGTGAGAGAAGAGTGGCGAAGAGAAATCGTTGGAGGGAACTGGATGCGGGGTGCGATATCCTTCAATTAAGCTCGGAGCTGGCGAGGGACGCACGGAGGACCAGAGGGGAAATTTCCAGAGCAGGCCAAACTCTACTCTCGAACCGGATTGCTACGTCGTCCGGAAGTGAGGGAGCATCAGGTAAACTGGGAGCAAGAGTGAGAGAGCCTGGCGGTGGTATTGACTCCCGACCCCTGTTCGCAACGACGTAAAGCCAAGAGGGGCGGACAAGCATTCCGAGCAACAATGCGCAAAAGGCAGCAAGCAGCAGCACATGCCACAAGCAATGGCGGCAGAACATGGCTCTAGTAGGGGCATTATCGGTAGCAGTGGGAGCGAGGCAAGATGAGGCGAGCAACGCTCAAACCAAGCAACCGAAGCCGAACATGGAGGGACAGGCTAGGACGAGAGCAAGCAAGCAGCTGGCAAGCAAGACTTCAGCCGTGCCTATCCAACCCCAAAGCAGCTCAGACAATGGAGGGTCAAGCAAATGCAAGCACTGCCAGATGCCAGAAGCTGTTTGGTGCTGTCTCTCTTTCTTGCCGACCACAGCACAGCTGACGATGATTGCGGTGCCAGTGTCAGGGTGCCGTTTGCCAGTGCCATTGCCAGTAGCGCAGCATTGCAGAATGCGGTGCCGGCGTGGGCCGTGGTCGGAGCCAATGAGAGGTAAGCTGTTGCCAAAGCATGCGGCTAAGAATGGTGACGCCAGTAGCCGGCCCCAATCTGTCGTAGAAATGGGGGAACAAGCACATGGTCGCACACGCCAGTCCCGCCCATACTAGGCCGCCACCGGCCGACAACCCCTCCAAGATTTTTTTTTTTTTTTTTTTTTGGTGTGTTGTTTTGGCTTGGGGATTGATAGGCGATTGCAAGCTCCATTCCCGCGGTGACCTTACATCACATCCACAGGGATTACGACCAGGGGTCGCTCGTCTGGGCCTACGGGTGTGTGGGGTCGTCTGAAGTCGTACATAGTCGCATGCCCAAGGGAAAAAGGGTGCATGTGTAGCGCTGTGCAGGAGAAAATGTGCGGCTGTCCCAGAGAAAGAGAGTTGAGACGGAGGACGGAGATGCCAAATTCGTTGGGAATTGATGCGCCGTCAGATGCCATCGCCGCTGCCGCTGCTGTTGCTCTTTTCAAAGCCATTGGTATTGCCAATGCCGCTCTCTCGTCAAAAGTATGGCTTATACTCGCAGAGTCGTTTTCGTATGAATTGGTCTCCTCAAGTGCTGCTTTCTCCGTGTCTCGCTTGTGATGCTCGTGTCTCTTGTCTGTTCGGCTCCGATTTCTCTCACATACTCAAGCTCTCTGCTTCGATTCTCGTCTCTCCTGTGTGCCTTGCTGTTGGGCTGAATTGGCCGGTTGGTGGCATTGTGTATAAGGCAGGTGAAAGGTAGTGGGAATGGCATGACCGTGTCTCGGGTCTTGAGACGGCGGTCCCTATGTGAGCGCACGTGTATAAAACTTACCGACAGGCTTTGGGTATTGTAATGGACCAAATGTGGTCGAGATGTTTGCGCAGTGGGATCGAGAGGGTTTCTTTCTACCGTCGTAGCACCGCGCGTGAAGAGTGGGAGGGCGGAAGAAAGAGGAAAACAGAAAAGGTGGGAGGTGGGAGACTGGCAGCCTTTTATGAAAGGTTTGGTGTATTGGTCCAAGTGTGTGGGCGAAGACGGGAGAGAGAGGAGTGGGTGAAGAAGGAGGAGGAGGAGTAAACGTCCTGAGTCGGCGCTGGGCCCAAGCTGGGGGAGGGGTGGTTGGAGGGGGGTATCGAGAAGAGGCTAACAAGATGGATGGGAAGAAGGCGATCGCCGGCGGCCACCCGAACGACAAGAGAACGCAAGACCAGAGGAAGCCAATGCAATTTGGATGAATAAGACGATCCTGTATGGAGACATGGAATTGGCACATAGTAGGAAAACGGGGCAATGGGTTCGGGGAGCACGAGAGCGAAGAGCGGACGAGGCGCGGAACGACAATAACACGGCAAGAAGGCCCTTTTCGGGGATACTGGCGCTTTCCTGCCAGAAACGACCGATGGGCTGGCTCAGGTTCTCACTTGCCTTGTTACTTTTTTTCCACCTTGTGGCAAGCCGACCAGAGAAAGGTTCAGCCAACCAGTGGCTCTCTTGTGCAGAATGTTGATCCACTGCTCAAGGTACAAGCAGACAGGCAGGCTAAAGAATACCCGTCTACTGGAGAAAATCATACGGCCCCTCCCCTGGTAATTTGCGAGGTGCAGTAGGCTCAAGTGCTGGTGTTGCATATGCGCTCTGCCTCTCTCTTTCCCCCCCTTCTCTTCGGTTTTCCTGTCGTGTTTCTACGTTTACTGAGAGGGGAATGGGCCGAAAAAGAGCAGTGGGGGTTTGCAGCATGCAAAGTGGGATGAAATGGGGGTACGTACCGACCCCAAATGCAAGAGCTAAGGGAAGGAAGCAAGTTGCTGCAAGAGGCACTGAGATGGGATGAGAATGGGAAGGAAAGGCACGACCTCGTACCTAGGTACCGAGAAGCAGAGACGGGAAGTCATGCAAAAAGGCGGCAGGAGCAGTCATAGCAAATGGAATGGGAGGAAAGAGCCCAAAAGAGGGGTACGTATCGGTGAGAGAGGCTCCGTGGACGGCGCGGCTGTGTCTGTGCGCTGCTGCTGCTGCCTTTCTCTCGGGCGTGTCGGTCTTTCTCTCCCATCCCATCCCATCAGGGTGGCCTTTTTTCTGTTCTCGACAGGTACGCTTCTTCGAAAACCAAGCAGACACGGACTGCCTGGAAGGTGTAAGACAAAACCATACTCCGTAGCATGGTGGGGTCCGAACAACTTACGCAGTACGGATCCCTTAGCAGGGCGAAGCGCGGTCCAATCAATGCATCGATCAATCCAACATGTATGGTCTCCCATTGGCGGCGCCTGGCGAGAGTCTCCAAATCTCTGACTCTTCGACAGCGCACTAACAGAACGGGACCCGTGGGTTGCTTGCGGGTGCCACTCTCCGCCCCGCCTCCGGTCCATGGGGCATGCGTCGTCTTCTCTCCTGCTCCGTTTTTCGGTCCATGATCCATCTCTCTTCAGTGGGCTCGCCGCTCCTCTCCACTGCCCCCTAGTCGTCCAAGTTGATGCTACCATTTCCACCATGCCACCACCCTGCTAGCCTCCTTGCCTCCCACGACATCGCCTGGGAAGCCCGCCGCTGTTCGACTGTTACCACGCAACGAACCTTGGAAATAACCCCTTCAAGGTGGCCTGTCCACGGGTGAGCATGGCCTGAAAGTGGACCGGTCCAGCGCACCATTCTGCCCCTCCACGGCTCTGGCACGCCGCACTCCAGGCCCAGCTCGACAATCGACCACCACGGCTGTTAACAACGCTGCTTTTGACGGGGGACCATGCTTCCGGGAAATGGAATGGAATGTCCCCCTTCCCCTCCCCAGTGTTACTGAGTCCTCCTAAAAGCCACATGCCAGAAAACACCGCACATCGGCCAGAAGCAAGACACCATCGACACGGCCATTCAGAGAGATTGACAGCCAGCTCATCATAGAACGACCGCTTGTACCGTCAATCTCAGCCTTCTCAGGCCAATGTCTCGGCTTTTGATTGCTACACAGCAACAACTCCCGGCATCCCACGCTTCCCCGGAGGGCCCTCGCTCACACTTCAGTCTTCAGGATGTTCATGATCTTCCGCCACGTCAACCTCGATCGACTTTCCTCCCCGTCGGCTCACCCTTCACCCACCATCCTAACAATCGATCCACCCACTCACTACCTCACGCTTCCTCGCCAGTCTCTCCATTGCCCCAAACCTTCGTCTCATGCTACCACCAAAGGCAATACGTGCCGCCAATCTACTTCCCCATGCGCCACCACTACCTCCTCCAGAAATCTAACTGGGTCCCTCCCACCATGGCGGACGTGCCAACGTTGCTCTGCGGGGTCCTCCCCTGACCGTTGGGTAGGTATTCCGTCACGCCGTACTACCGGCCTAACAACGCTTCAACCCAAATCCGCAAAAATACTGGCTTTTCTTTTTTCTTCGTCGTTGGTCAATCGACATTGGGGTCAAAACCTCGAGGTAAGACTTCAGATTACCTGACGTACAGCCCGGCCGCCTCATCTGGGGGGAATGGATCACGACAAAAAGCGTTCCTCGTCTTGCTAGGTCGATGCTGCCGACATTGTTTGGGCCAAATTGGCACTCCATAAACTTGTCCTTCGACCGACAAACACGGCTTCCATTCATTCCATTCCGTTCGGATATTCCGCCCGGACTTAGCGCTAGGAGATGCCACGCCTCGGGAGCCATATCCCATATTCCGCCTGAGAGTCTTGGCCAATGGCGGTGACCCAATTTCAGATCGACCAACTTGAAGAAGATCGGGTCAGTGTATATGACGCCGGAGGCGAGCGGAGCCTTTTGCTGTGTAGTCCGTGGATGAATGCCTTTTTCTGCCCGCTGCTGGGCTTGAATACATACTCATCAGAAAAACACAGACCGCCATGCCTTACTTTGCCCTGTGGATCAAACGCTGTGCGCATTTGTGACTCTGCTTCGGATGCATTCCGAACGCCATTCAGCGCTGCATTTACACTACTCGAGGCACATGGAAGATATCTCGGATAGTCACCCGAGACGTGTACGCGGTGCTGCAGTCTACCAGACGCGACGGTAGACGGTCAAACTTCTTCCGCACACCCCGGACAAGCAACGTCCTATGGTTTACTTGGCCACTCTGGCGAATCCCTTTCCGTTCAAGCGTCGCTTGCGGAATACTGTGTGTAAGAGAATTTTGACACAAAAACCCAGCGCCTCGGCGAAAACCAGCAGCAGAGATGCACCCCACACACTCCATGCGGGCGGAGCAGGGGGTACCCAGTCGTTTTTTGCTCTCTCGAAACTGAGTCGTTGAAAGGTTAATGTCATCAACGAGCAAGCTTTGAGCTTGCACCAATCAGCGGCTTGGATTTCAAAGAAGCCCTTGGCCGAAGTCGCCCCGGATCTTGGGGCCCCTGATAAATCGCAGGATGCCCCCAAGCAATTGGACCCGGACCCTTCTTGGACATGGGCCACTCCAGCATCGATGCAAGTGATTGGGGGAGCAAGTTGGGGGAGGGGATGGTGTTGAACATCTGTTCCATTTCAAAGGCGCGCTTGCACATGCTGATGGAAGACTTACTTGTTATTACATTGCTAGCGTGCAGAACCAGCATCTGTCAACTGGGCTGGCTTCAATGTCTCGCGGCCCTGCATGCACTATCTGTCATTGCTGCACTATCAGCCGGGGCAGGTCCAAAAGATGGCGATTCTTGAGATCAACCAAGCTGCGTCAAGGACTCGACGTTGCGCAGATTCCGAGCTGTTTCCGAAATCCTATCACGAATGAGAGTGGTCGGTATATCTCTTGTTTGCCTATCAGCCCTCCGATCTACGGAACTTGGTGGTGTCCACGGCCGGCTGGACGGCAGCGGCCGACGAAGGACCAGGGGCATCTGGGCTGCGACCTGTATCTTTTCCTCAAGCGCCTGCGGCGGCATTGATCACGGATACCGATGGACGGACCGACTGACAAATGAACCCCCAACACAAGGTCCGCTCAGCAGAAGGACGCAGCTTGACTGCGGTCTGCTCCGCGAGAGCGATGTTCCAGGCGCGACGCACGTCGCAACTGCAAGCAATACGGGCTTTACTGGAAGGCTAACCAATGGCGGGCAGCACCGAGCACATGCAGACAGGGAGCGGGGCAACAGCAGAGAGGTGAGATGGGAAGAACGATTCTTTGCTGTACAGAATGGCGCTCGAAAAGGCAACTAGTCACCCGTGTCACCCTCTTCTCCGGCATATCATCGACTGGCGAGTTGGGCGTCTGACTGCATTGCAGCATCGACAGTTGTTGCCCAAATCGAAAAGGGTTGCTGTCAAAAAATCGACAACTTGAAATTGGAGAAGCCGGCCAATCACAACTAGAGCCTCATCTTCAACCGTCTTATCTTGAGCCAACCAAGATGGCCGCTTGCTGCATCTGCATCTGAGCTATAGCGAGCCAGGTATGCCCCTAGTCGGCACATCCATGCCAAATGCGACCCCGCCGACCGGAGGCGTTCGAGATCTCACAGTTCCTTGCTCAGCACGACCCTGTCTGTGTACACGCACAGACATTCTTGGTCTCTTGGCTCTAGAGCTGGAGGGGAGGTGAGAAAAGGAGAAGGAGGGGGCCATCTCCGACGGGATTCCAACGTCCAAGGTAGCCTGCTGAGAAGCGGCACAGACATGCCAGCCACATGAGAGACACCATCCGCACTCGGTGATGAACCACTTGGGAGCGACGCATGCATGGGCTACGTCACAAATGTCACCGACGTGCACAAAAAGATGCTTGTTCACACACGCACGCAAGTACATACCACAGGTATTTTTTCCCCTCTCGGTTTAAAGTTTGTGAGAAAAGCTGGTCGTTCCGGGACTCACTTAGGGTTTCGCAGGTTAGCCTGTCGACCAGCACGTGTCTGCATCCTTGATCTGGATGGACAGAAACTACATACGACCTGGAAGCGGTTACGATCACCTATGCCCTCCTGGAGCAACCCTCCATCTCCGCATTTGAGCAGCAATGACGCTTCAATATTCGAGGGAGTCGTCTCATATTGGATCCATACAGTCGGCTAGAACACGGGGACGAATGAACAGCTCGGTGATTCTAGTCACAAATCAAATGTCCGGCTACACATGTCAGTGACATATCAAGCCCCATACTTGGAGCATGTTTAGCGGGCTCCTGGTCAGCAACTTGAACAACAGGAATTATAAATGTCTGGTCTGGCTTTGGGAATGGTAGCTACGCATCCATTCCCTCACGTCCTTGTGGAGTTTGTCACGACACGAAGCGAAGCTGGGTGACGGGTCCGACATGGCATCTGCCATTTACCCATAGCGCTAACCAAGCCCCCCCGAAGTCGGCTCGGCCGTTCACCCTAACTAGGGCCGGGCGGATGTAACCCCTGGCTGGCGTTCTGGGACCTATATCGGAGACGGCCACGACCTCAGACCCAATCCATACCAACTTGCAGGGGGGTGTCTTGCTTAGTTGCTCGGTAGTAGGTCTAGGACAGAAGCGAAAAATTAAACGGGCAGAAGAGAGAGTCCACTCGAGTCAGCCCATGGCCGCGAGGAATTCCCACAAAGCGGAAATATGGCATTTGAAACCTCCACTTGCGCAGCCAATGCCAGCAACTCCGAAGTCAGCGCTGTTCCGACTTCTCCCGACGAGACACATCAGAGCGGCGCGGGGTGAATGCGCTGGTCCCTCATTTCCCCGTGGCTATGCGAATCAATGGCGGACGAGAGTCGACGCAGAAGCGCAGAGAATGTAAAAAAACGGAAAACGAATCCAACACCCCTGCCTTTTCTTACCAAACGAAAACAGTAAACCCCTTGGAAACGAGGAGACGCAGGCGCCTGAGGGCTGAGCCCACGCAGTCTGGGTGAAACCTAGTAACCAAGGAGCGCAGGTTCAACGAGTTCGGTCTGAGATTGATGCGAGGCATGCCGTACAGCAGTTCTGGCGGTGGGAACTGGGTCTAAGTCCCGACGGAGGGAAGAGTCATTCGGTCAAACTGGCGGACACTCTCAATTGGGTTTGAGCATATTTTTATTTTTCAAATGCTCTACTGTTAGCCTGATGGAGGGGCATGGAAATGGCAACCTTCCAGGTACCCACACATTACTTTGCGATGAAGCATTCGTGACTGTGCTGAACCATGGCACACTTAAAGACATGTCGTTGAATTTGTGAGGCAGACGACCACAATTCTGCCGCCCGCAATGAAGCATCGTGACTTCTTCTTCGCAGGGATTAAGCGCGCTAGGCGCGGCGCGTCTGCCAATGTGGGGTAGACCCTTACACCCCCCAGGGAGTACGTACTGTCGAATCGTTTACTCTTTGCAACCTCGCGACAAGCAACTTGCAGCGGGGTCCTGTGCCATTTGCGACGAAAGCTCTCGACAGCTACGAAACGGCTTCCATTCGGCTGTCTCTGACATCGATTTCTTCACGCGCATCAAGCCATTGAAACATTCGCAATACTTGATCATTGCCTAACGGCACCTTGCGAGTCACAATGTTTGGCCTTTTACCAGACCTCACCCCACGAGACGTGAGCTCTCCTACCTCTATTGACATCTCCAAAAGCATCCATCTCGTCCCCTGTGCAACCATCTGACCTCATTGTCAACAGTCACACTCGATCTGGTACACCTCTTCCCGCAACCCAATAACCCAAGCCGCCCTCCTCGAAGCCCACGAACACAACAACCACCATGGCTCCGCCCAACAACAGCAACAGCAGCAGCAGCAACAGCAACAACAAAACAGCTCCTCCTCCCGCCGCGCAGGCCAACTCCTCATCGAGCGGTCCGCGCTGGCACGCCTCCGCGCCGACGAGCACACAATGGACCGCCGCAGGCTGCACGTGCAAAATTTCGGAAGCACGTGGCTGAAGCCGCCCGGCGTGCCCAAGACGCTGCACCAGATCCGCGAGGAGCGGCGGGAGCAGGAGGAGCACGCCGAGGCCATGAGGCGGGAGCAGCTCGCGCTGGAGCTTGCGGAGGCGGAGGCGGGCGGGCAGGATGATGATGGGGGGTTGGGGGTGCTTGGTGAAGGGGAGGATGGGGAGCAAGAAGAGGAGGTGAGGGATCTGGATGACGAGATTCCGGATGCTGCGGAGGAGAGTTTTGGGTTTGATGGCGGGGAGGATAGTATGGCGGATGATTTGTCGTCGAGTGAGGGGCGGCCTCTTTCTCTTGATGATAATGATGATGATGAGGAGACTGAGGAGGAGGAAGACGATGACGACGAAGATGACGACGACGCAACGGCCGTGGACGAGGACGAGTACGAGAGGCGAGACGGCCTCGTCGCGGCGAGGATGCGCATGGCGGACGACGCCTTCAGACAGGCCTTGGCGCGGGGCGACGTCGACGGCGACGACATGTACGGCGCCGAGGAGGAGCTCGAGGCCTCGGGCCAGGGCCAGATGCTCGACGAGGAGGACCTGCTCGAGGACGGGTTCGCCGCCGAGGGCCTTGTCGACGACGACGACTTGGGTATGGGCGTCGACATGGACGCCGACCTGGACGACGAGATTCCCGAGGCCGAGGGGCTGAGCGGGGTGTATGAGCATACGGACTCCGAGGCCGAGGTCAGCGGGTTGACGAGTAGTGTTATCAGTAGTGGCGGAGAAGAGGAAGACGACGACGATGACGATGAGGAAGGGGATATCAGTTTTGCGCCGAGGGCTGCGCCTTTGCGGGCCCCGTTGAGTCCTACTGGGGATCGGGGGAGGGGTAGCGCTGCTGGTGCTGCGCGGCATCATCACCATATGCCGAGGAGTAGTCTGGATCTCAGCGGGTTGCTTTCTGCGGACGGGAGTAGTATGATGGATAGTAGTCCCAACATGAGGGCTCACAGGCGTTGAGGGGGGGTGGTAAAGAATGGGAAGGGAAGGACAGAGGAAGACGGAATTATGATACCCCCCACGGTTCCCATACATTGTTTCGAGAGAACTTGCAGCGATGGACGTGGACATGTCCTCGCGTTCACGAGTCTTTATAGAAGCACAACATGCATACACCAGACCAAGGCGTTAGTGCAAACGATAGAAGTTTAATTCGAACTCTTGATAGAAATGCAAAAAGGCATGAGCACCAGAGACTCGGTGTCGAAGGTTTATAGAAATATAAAACAGGTGTTATGTATACACGGCCATTACAAAAGCTTTTAATTTGTGTCCCCAATACTTGACGAGTGAAAGAGAAATCGCGCCTTCTTCTCACCCTTCTCCCCCTCTCGAATGGTATGCAAGTGACATCGCCACCCCCACAGCAGAAAAGGAACCATGCCGTTCTGCCATTCTGTCCCTCTTTAAGTTCGTATCAGGACGTCCTTTTCGTGATCGTTCATCTCTTTCCTCATGTCCTCAATGCTTTGAGAAGGAAATAGAAAGTTGTCGGGCCCTTCACGAGATTCTCGACCCTCTTCTCCCAACTCCCATGCAATGAAGATGATTCCAGGCATATGGAACCGTTTAGAAAACGCCTCCGACGCCGAGCATGCAAGAATAATGGGTTTGCTTCCCAACCAAACGCACCGCACCATTCCGGGAAGGCTATTGGAGCCTGCCCTTCTCCCCTAACCCCTCTCTTCCAGCCAGGTTTTGCTGTCTTGTCTTTTCGCGTTAAGATTGGCTTCCTCGTTCCTTACGCCTAGGACGTTTGACATGGACAGCCCCTTTGACCTCAGTCTCTTGAGCTCGCAGCGGTGTCCCATGTCGAAAAACTCGGTAAAGCCCACGTAGCAGGAGGCCGTTCGCCCCTCCAAGCTCGAACAGTCCCATACTTGTAGGAGGTAATCCATAATCACGCTCGTCTCCCTGACATGACTGATAAACCGCGCGTATCGCCTTTCGCCTTGGTCTCGTCGATGTCGTAGTCGTAGTCGTCGATTCAGACCACGCTCTTAGAATAGCCAGACGTACATGAACAAGAAACACACGGCCGCGAAGAAACCGAGCCAGACCTTCCAGCCGACGCCCGTCTTCTCCGCCATGACGAGCATGCGGTTCATGGTCCCGCGGATGCGCAGGCGCGTCGAGTCGAAGCTGTCGTTCATCTTCTCTGCCAGGGCTGAGGAGTCGCGGATCTCGTCGCCAATGGCTACCGTCATCTGCGCGCCTCATGGGTTTAGTTTCTTTCTTTCGTGTCTGGGATTTTTTTTGCATAGGAAATGCGGTCGAGGCAGAACTTACGCTCTTCAAAATCTTGACTTTGCCCATGATACCCGCGACCTGTTCATCGTTCTGGCTCTCGAGCTCGTTCAGCACAGCGTCGCTGTACTGGCCTCTAATATGTCACATTCGTTAGCAAGCTGCCTCAAGCTTAGAGAGCTTCTCGTCCGCTTCTCCAGTCATCTACCCGAGACGCAATTTCCCTGAACCTTGCAGGCGTGACATCCAAAGGGGTTGTAGTTGTGTCTGGTTCCGTACCGTTTATTTGGCGTCGCAGGCCGGAACCCCCGGTTCGCGTCAACACCGAGGTGGCTACCACCCATGGGCGGCGCAGGTGATGCGCTGCCGCCCGCGTACCCGTATCCATATCCACCGCCTAGTCTAGATGGCGAGGCGCTGACGGGTCGTCGGCCGTTGTCGCTGCCGCCGCCGGTGTAGCCTTCAAAGAGGGCGCTGCGGGAGTCGCGCTGATGCAGCGAGGAAGCGCCGAATCTGTGAGTTGTGATGAGTTAGCCCACCGTTGATGACTTTTCCCAGATGTGAATGCCATGTGTCGTTGCGCAAGACGGGCGGTCGGTACGGTCTCGCTGGCGGTTCGGCTCGCCTGTCTTGTGGAGAGTTCGTGATCGAGGGGCGGCCTGCCGTCATCGCCACTTCGTTGCCCCCAAGATGGAACTCTTCGCCTTCCTCTCTGATCGTGGAGGACCGCGTCGGAGCACAAGAACGTCGCAAGCCGTAGCTACCCATCCCGCCATTCCGAACCGCATGCGTTGCGTGTGTGTTGGGTATTCTGTCGAGTCCAGTGTACGAACCTTTGAGCCATGGTGTCCTAACCGTCGCGTCCTATGTCGCGCGCGCACAGCTGCTGCTTCGAAGCAGAGGAAAAAGTATCGTTATTTGGGTCGGGGTGCAGTACAGGGCGTCGTCGGTGACAGCAGCGTTGAAATGTCTCGAATACTCGAGTAGTTTGTCGTTTTGTCGAAAAGGGGTGCAGGTGTTTTGATGCTAATTAAACAATCCCGATAACAAGACGCAACTTTTTTTCGTTGGCCCTTGTACTCCGTAAGATAGATACCTGCTGTCCCTTCTCAGAACCCCTGGAAGCTGTGTTGTCATTCAATGTCGGTCCAGTTAGGTTGGCAAGGTGTGCTAGAGCAGGGGTCTATGCTATGCGGGCAGGGTGTTCGTAGGTATGTGTCGAATCTCGGCTGGGCGATCTCTATGTTTTCCCTTTTAGCGGCTCAAACTCCCTGCTTTTTGACTTTTGACGTCCGCAGTGGGTTGTTGGCAGTCAAAGTTGCGAGGCGAACTTGCTGGGGCTCATGTGTGGGAAAGGGGAAATAAGAAGCGCCTGACACGGTGAAAGTTCGCGTAAAGTACTTTTCTTTACAATGAACGGCAAGAGAGGGGAAGACACGTCCCTCGATTTCCTGTTCCCGTCTACAATCACTTTGCAACTCCGACAAATCCCATGGTTTCCCCAAAGCCCGTCCCGCTATCAGTCATTTGGGTACGTGTCGTCCCGCTATCCAATCGAAAACGGAGAAGAACCTAAAAAGCCCCGACCAAGGACACAAGGAGATACCCTATAAGGTACAGTATGAAAGCGGGTGTCCCTTCCTGGGTCCAGCTCCGACTGGGAAGGCTTCCCTCCGCTGTTCACAGCGGAAGAAATGGACGGGCCTACAGCAGGTACCTGCCTACCTAACTTACCTGAGGTATGAGCCTCTTAGACGCTCAGGCAAGTAGGTCCTCACCTCATGTAACCACCTTCAATCTGTACCCAGCTACCTGCCAAGAACTTACGGTCGAGAAACTCATCTCACATCTGATTGTTTACTCGAGGAGAGACTGACAGGTCCCTGAAAATGTTCTGTTTACAGTAACTGCACCTGTGCTATGCACGCAACTTGTAAAGGAAGTGCATGTTGTTCCAATGTCAGGTACTAGAGTAGCTCTGCTTCATGCACTGATCCACGATCGAGCGGGCACGGCGGGCAGGTGGATGAGCTCTTCCCGGACTAATAAGAATTTTGCTGCAAAACAAAAGTACGAGCGTCGCATGAACCTATGCCACGCCCATAACATCATTCACTATACAGGTGCTGAACATGCACAAGCATTTGGGACCGCTCATTGTCGCATAATTTTCATTTCCATGGCACTCGTAGTCAAGGTAGCGACACCGCGCGCTGAAACGGCCTGATAAAATAGAGAGCCAGGTGGGCAGAGCAGCAGCAAATCGACAAACGTCGCCGCTGCCGCCGCCGACAAAAAAGCTGCAATATCAACCGAGGCTCTCAGCCGCCAATGTCCAAACCCACCAAGCCTTTTTATCGACGCAAGGGGCATGCAAATGATTATTGAAGCCCTCTTATAACTTTTGTGTAAACCATCCACTGCCCCTTCTTTGCATTCCGTTTTCTGTCGTGTGTGTGTCGTGCCGTTTCCCAATAACCGTCATGAATGGTGATGAACCATCGCCGCCGCCCGCAGCCGCCACCATGTAAAAGGTAGGCAGGCCAAAGGGGGGTGTACGAAGGTCAAACGAAAAAGGAGGAGAATGGACTCGCTGCTTAGTCCTCATCCATCTTGGACTCGTCGGCCGCGAAGTCATCGTCGTCCTCGTCATCATCCTCCTCGGCGGGGTTCTCCTCGGCAGCCTTGGCGAAATCAATGACACGGCCACGGGTGCGGCGACCACCCTCGACAATGTTGTTCAGGTCAATCTCCTCCATGCCGTCCTCCTCGTCGACTACAATTCGCAGGCATGTTAGTCGCAGGAAATCGCAGGTGCGCGGTAAGTTTGTAGCAGCCGTGGAGATTTGTTCTTACCAGCCTCAGCGGCCTCGGGGGCTTCCTCCTCATCACTGGAGTCCTCGTCCTCGTCCATGGCGTCGCTCTTTTCAACGGGCTCCTCAGCGGCGACGGCCTTGCCCTTGCCCTTGGTCTCCTCGGCGAGGCCAGCAGCGACGTTCTCGTTCTCGGCAGCCATTGTGTCTGTTTCGTGGATGTTGCGTGGTACTGTCGAGTCTTTGCGCAAAGGGAGAGAGTGAAGAAAAACAAGAAGTTGCTGTCGCAAAAAGTTGTGGTTGGATTGGGAAAGGTTGGGGGGTGGGTTGTACGAAGGGAAGGTAAGGTAGGTGGGAAAGGAAAGTGGAGGTGAAGCTTTGCGCAGGCAAATCGATGGATTTATCAGTTCGATCGTACCTTCCCCCTGGTCATGGTCCCAGCTTTTAAGACTGCAGTGCCTGCGAGGAAGGAGTGCCCTCCGCGCAAGGCTTGTGTGCTGTGCAGGCGACAGGCTCCCACGCTCCGTCTCTGAGCAACGAGCGCTAGCCTCAGATTGGGCTAGAGCTGAATCGCCTGCCGCGCACGTGCCACGTCAAACCTGCCAGGTGCTTACGCCGTGAGCTCTCTCCTCTGAAGCTTCCAGTTCATTATGGAAAAATGCCAGGCTCTGAAGCCTGGGATAGCAGATTATTGGATTCCGGACCAAGAACGGACTCTTCTTATCTTCAAACGTCATACAGCTAGCTAGTCCTCATAAGTGTCAAAACATGGCTCGAGTCTTGTGAAGAGAAGCATCTTAGTATGTCTGGCTCCCGAACGAGTATCGGATCTTTGCTATGCGGCTGTTTACTGTAAATACATTTTGACGTTTCTTCGATCATGTGGAAAGTGAGACATTCTTCTGGGCCAGGAACATTGAGAACAATAGACATTGCCTCGAAAATCTCCAAGGCCAGTTGAGACAGCTGCGACTAGGCACTTCCTCTCATACCGGAGAAGCAGGATCATGGGCACCGACACGATGCCATCAGATGAGCAAGGTACTTCGCGGATGAACGTGAAAAAAGTCTATTGGTATATCTTCCTCGCCGTGACCTTCGTCTATTTTCCGTCTCCTCCACCGGTGACAGTCATCAAGACGACAATCGCAATCAACCACCAGTACCTGCAAAGTCAACGTTAGCAAGCTCGCCCACAGCCCAAGGAAACGGAAAGAAGCAAAGGCAACATACTTTTGCCAAAACGGCTTCTCCTCCTGAACAACCTTGCGTCCCTCGGGACTCAGCACGACAGGCTTATTCAACTCGGGCGTCTTTCCCTGCCCCGCGACCCTCACAACAGCCTGCGGTCCAAAATCCCTCGTCGCGCCCGCGTCGACCCTCACGCCCTTGACACCCGCACCCACGACCTCGCCCGAGGCGCCGTCGACGCTCAGCACAATGTTGGGCTGGTACCCCTTGGCAAAGTTCTCCGTCGAGGCGACCGACACGCTCGAGGTCCACTGCGCCGTGGCGGCATCGTAGACGCCGACGCGGACGAGCTTCGTCGCGGCCGGGTAGTCGGCGAGCTCGGGGGCCTCAAAGGAGGTCACGCTCGCCTCATCTGGGCGTTTCGTGTCGTACTCGACCTCGGCGAGGAGGGTCGGCTTCTGGTTGGTCGCGAGGGAGACGGGTTCGATGTAGACCTTTGCGAGGCGGGTTTCGGCGGCGGCGAGGGTCGCTGCGAAGAGCGCTGATAGGATTGTTGTCGCGCGCATTATTGTCGATTGATTTCTCCGTCGAGTATTTGTAGGACCCCTTCTGAAAAGTGCGCCGGGGGAGGTTGGCGCCGGGTAAGGTATGTTGAGGTGCAATCGCGGCGAGCAGTCGTCAGATGGGGGTAGGATGCTGGAGGGGGAAGTTCTATGGAGCTCTGCTGGGTTGAAGGCCGCCCGGGGTAAAGTCGGCTGAACGAACACCTGTACCCCGGACTCACTCAATCTGCCCCCAAATAATCACCAACCTACTCTCTCTGGAAGCTTCTGTAGGGAAAGAAATCAGGCGTTCTTTCACACATTCAAAGGCATCATGTCATCGAATTTGAATCGCACATGGTTATAGAATCATTCAGAACAGTGTGGTATTCATTACCGCTATCACTCATAACCATCAAAACATCCCACCTTTCCAAACGCCGCTTTGCCATGCCTCTCTGGCAGCAGTGATGCCCGCCCTTTTTAAACAAAATGGAATCGACAAACAAAAGTTTACCCTTGAAACTCTCTTGGTGGCCGTTATGAGGGTTGCGATGGCCCTGCTTCATCCCCATGCGGCGATTTAGCCGGGCTCTCTTCGTCCGGCGAGTCTCCGCTGTCGTCAGCGACTCCGTCGGAAATCTCTGTCGATCCATCATCTTCGACATCGTCAGAATCTTCATCTTCGTCAATCGCTTCTGCGTCTTCCTCTTGCAACGCATATCCTGGGCAGCGCTCAACGAGGCCGCGGTAGTAAGCCACAAGGACTTCTGGGTTCGGGACGATCTTCCAGTCTACCCTGTATAGAAATTCAAGCTCCAGCAACTTGAGCTCGGCGACTCTAACGCCTCCAACTCGTGCATATGTTGTATTGTTCCAAAACAGATCCGATAGACCCTTGGCCGCCACAGTGGCAGCCGTGATCAGAAAGCGATGGACAGTCAGCGTATTGATAGTGAATTCTGGGTATAACGCGCAGAGACGGTCAATGTAGTAGACCATAGATAGCAGCAGGGGCGGTGTTAGCGTCGCATGCTTTGCCAATCTATTCAGATATTCCAGCACGGAGATGCTCGGTGCAGTTCTAAATACGGATTAGTGAGCGCTGCCACATTGGAGCGACAGCTGGGAAAGGCTTTTACTCACCTTGAGTGGAAGCGAGTCAGGCTTCCGGAACGAAGAGCCAGAGCATCGTTGGTCTCTATCAACTCTGAGAGCATGTGGGATATGAGTACAACCATGTCCTCGGTGCTGCACAGCTCATATCGCTGAGGCAGGATTTTCGGCGGGCCAGCCGTGGGCTTTGGGCGCTTAGCCGCGCTGCTCGACGACTCGCCCGCTGCCGATGCGCTCGCCCGCGCTTGCGCGACGGCAGGATCTTGAGAGTTTCGACGTTTTCCGGGCGACGCGGTGGTAGTCGACGCCTCGCGAATGACGGGTGCCACGACGGGCTGCGGTTGTGATTGTGTTTCTGTTTGGGATCGCTGATGGGGTTCTGGTTGCCGTTGCGGCGCGGATGGGTCTATGGGTTGAGGGCGCGGCGTCGGCGGGGGCTCGACAGGCGTCGCAGGGACGGTAGTAGGAGTGCGCGGGGCGGTGGCATCTTGTGCCTTTTGGGTGGAAGACTCCATGGGAGAATATTGGGTGCCGGCGTCGACGGCTACATATTGTCGTGGGCGTGGTTGGGAGGAAGGTGAGGTCATTGAGGCTGCGGACGGAGAAGACCTTGATGCAGAGTGCCGCCGCGGCAAAGGGGCCGAAAGCCGGGCAGGAGATGAGTGCGGGGAGGATCGCGTAGGGGCATAGTGGAAGCTATTGGGCGAGGCATTGGCGGAGCTGGCGACGATGGGAGATGTTGTCAACATGGTCCCGGGCGCATCGTGGGATTTCGAGGACAACAGAGCGAGCGGATCGAACGTGATTGCCAGAAGTTGGAGCTGAAGTGGCGGGATAAGGTGAGCGAGGTGAGAGTAGTGTAAGGTAGGTAGGCGCTCCTCAGGTAAGTTAGGTAGGTAATACCAAGTGTGAGGTGTAGTTGTTGGCGGTAGCGGTTCGGCGGTCGATAGGGTAGGTTCAGATTTGCAGATTGCCAGACCCCAAAATCAGATAGGCCACACACGGTCGAAAAAACCGGGATGAGGAGTGGAGGGGCTCGGTTTGCCGACGCCGTATGGTGGTGGTGCGCGTGGGATAAGGTATTAGGCGATGAGGATGGCCAGGCTGGGGAGGGGGGAACTGAGGTGGATTGGCGCTACAGCTGTCCGATATTGGCAAGTCACCCCCTTTGATACGGCGGCTGCTGGCAGGAGTCGTCTAGACGGCAGGTCGGCACCAGTTCCAGTAAGGTAGCACTACTCCGTACCAGCTCATATCAACATCAGCAATAGAAGCGAGTGAGCAGGAAGACGGTCACGAGAGAGGGAAAAAAAAGAGTGGATGGTTGATGAAGGCATCCAATGTGCGAGGCAAGAGCCCCCAGGCAATCGCACCTTCCGTCCTGACTGCCCAGGATAAAGTAGACAAGTACTTTAGTTACGTACCATGATACCCAGTCGCCAACCAGTGGGATAAGGTAGCCTGGGCTGCCAATGAGGTGCCAAGGACTTGGGACGTGGAGGGGCGCGAATCTGATTTTCTGCGGTCTCGGCACCAAGCCAAGCAAACCACGCTTGCGCCGGTGAGCCAGTCGTCTGCTGTGGGTTAGTGGGGAAGAGTCTTGACATCTGTACGTGGGCGAAAACGTGCTTTTCTGATTGTCACTGATTTCTTTCAGTCTAATCGCACTTCTCGCCCATATTCTGTACCTTCTATTGTACGGTATAACTGCGTATTCGCAAGGTACCTAAGGTAGGTACACTAAATAGTACCTTACAGTTAGTTCTACACGACAGAGTACCCCAGCTTCGGCTCCAGACAGAACGCAACGCCAGGGGATGGGCTTGAATGTGTTTCCGGGCGGTCATGACATACTGACAGAGCACATGGCCTTGCAGAGCTTTTCTCCTGGCCCTGCTTGCCCTGCGTGCCCTGGAAGCCGCTCATTGCGCCATCTCGTCCACCTCATCTTGAGGCCCTCCCGTCGCTGATTCAATGTCAGAGGTGGGCCGCTCTTCTGCTTCGGGACACCGAGCCATGCCGCTAACGCTGCTTTGGCCCCGGCGCTGCAACCCTTCTACGGCTACTCAGGGCCGCCACGGCCCTCCCACAATAATGCCAGCAGGGACCTGGCCGGTTACGGTTCGTAGCCTGGGGCCGGAGGCGCCGTCGAGCCTAGGCGGCTCAAATTTTTCGACGGATATGCGGGTTCAGATTATCATTTACGGAGGAACCAGTGGGCCTTGGATCAAGCACACGCTTACTTGTACGCAGTACGTTCGGAGCGCGGAGAATGGAGTTATGGCGCCGACGTGTTCCACCAAGGGATCCAGCATGCTCCGCGACAACCTCTCTGGGCCTTTATCATCTTGAGTACCATGTAGGAAGTTGCTTCGTCGTGCGGACCTGTCCGCCATTACGGCTTGTGGTCAGCTGCTACACACTGCGGGTTTGTTTACTTCTTATCGTGTAATTGTACCCCCTCGCGGTTGAAATTTCCGTTGTAAGTTGTCCAATCGTCATATGTCATTTATTATCTCACGCCTGGTACCCCTCATCTCACGATCGAGCCGCTATCTTGGTCAGATCGCCCCTGTCTCGCGCTTCAGTCGAATAATCTGTAGTTGCTCGGTATAGTGCACCGTGCAGTGTGTATCCTAGCTAATGTCTTTGGCGTGCTGTGTATTACGGAGAAAAGTCCCAGTGTTTTACGGAGAGCGAAGGCTTTTGCAAACAAAGGGACTGACCTTGGCCATATAAGGCCCCAGGTCGTCCTCAAGGTTGGCCTACCTATGCCCCGAGAAACATGGGCATCGGCCTGTCAAGAGGCATAAGGAATAGCTTAATCACATAGGCACACAAGCAAGTCGCAAACTCGTCCTACCCTTTGAACACTGTCCAATTGAGCATGTAAACCGAGTTTGAGTTGAGCTTGAGAATCAGTTGTACAAACGTAGAAGTGCCCAACGGTTTCGCTACGTATTTGTCTAATACTTGTAGCTGAGAAAGCGATATTGATGCAGGTTGAAAGTACAGCCGACACGGGACATCATTGTCTTCGCCTGATGGACAAAGGACCTATACCGATTCGCTGCAATTGTCCAAGGTTGTTGGAAAGTCGTCTAGCTCTAGATAGATGCTTACTAGATCTTTGCCGGCCTGTTCCTGCCCACTTCCAAGAATGGTAAAAAAAAAGTTTGCCATATCACCTCATCACTCAAATTCCGACATATCTAGGTTCAAACAATGAGGGCCTCTATTTGATGCGGGAATCATTCATAACCGCCAATTAGCCCCTAAAGTCACAGAGAAATGTCCCATTGAATGAATCTCTAGACTCATCGACTGAATCCCCAGAGGAAGGTTTGTCAGTCTCATGTTTTCCCACCGTGATGGTAGGAGCTGGATGCTCCCAGATCAGATCAACTTCATCCAGGTGGCAAGCGCTTCTACTTCGGGAAGTTTACCATGTGTAAGCCACACCATGTGGGGTATCGACAGGGTGGAAGGAGACAACTAAGCCGTGTTACAACCAGCCATGCTGCGGGGGATGGTCAAGGTTTCCAACTCCCTATCCGTCCATCGGTATTCCATCCCTTTTTTTTCTTTACTACTCACAAAATACATTGGAACAAACACATTTGAATGGAAGGACCATTACTATTTGAAACAATCATGTTGTTCTGCTGCTTGTCGTTTCCGAGTGGATGAATCAAAAAGCATGAAACCTCCTTCAGTGTTCACCATGAAGACAGCAGGACCGTTCATCGCTAAAGATTCGCGAGAACACGGGCAAGCACCAGCACAGCACAGGCTTCCGCACTGACGCTTAAGGGTGATCCAAGCTTCAGCTAGCATGTGAGAATCCTGAAAACGGCTGGTAGCGATAAGAGAAATGCACGTGCCATACCTTACCCCAGTGCCAACGCCCGATAATCACCCAGTCTCCCAGACCGTCGGCCCTGTCTCGAGATGATCAACCGCAATCCATCCTGCGAACGACATCCTGGTCTTCTGTCCATGGACATCCGATTTTCTAAGCCAAGCTCTCGACAACTTTGCAACTCATCCACAGCGTACAGCAACTAATTATCGATACATGTATTAGAGAACAATCTGTTGTCCTTCCGACTTTCCGCATAGCTCGACCCACGTTTGCCTAACCGTCGACCGGTTCTTAGGGACCTGGGGCTCTGACGCAACCTCCGTCGCCGCAGCAGCACCACTCTATCCTCGCAAGTACACGACGCGCTGGTCGACAACGACGACACATAGCCGAGCTCCTCAACGAATCGAGCCGACTTTCGTCATGACACGCACGTCGAATCCACCAATCCTCTCGCAGCTCCAGAGCGCAAGGAGCTATACCGAACAAACGAGCGCGCTGCGGGCTCTCAAGAACGATGTTGTCGGGCACGCACAGAAGAAGGAGATGTGGGCTGAGCTAGGCGCATTGGAACCCATTGTAAAGATACTCAATGCTTCCCGGTCGCCGGCCAAGGTCAACGGCAAAGATACCCGCCCGAGCTCCAACACTCGGTGGTTGAACGAGGAAGAAACAGTGAGGCTTCAGGCTCTACAATTATTGGCGAGCTTTGCCAATGGTAGGACTCACTTTCTCCAGCTTTTTGGCCACTTCCCAAACTAACTTGGGCATCTCCAGGAGGTACTGCTTTCGTTGAGCCGCTCCTAGCTGCGAGCGCGCTGCCAGCTGTATTGGATAACGTGTGTCCAAGTACAAACGCTCCTTTGCTGGTCACCACGGCACTACGCGTCCTCCTCAACATCATCGAAGCTTCCACTTTGTCAACTACGAGTTCGCCAATAGACATGCAAGCGTTAGCCGAGGCCATCTTCGCATCCGAACATATCGATTCTTTCAATAGCATACTTTCCGGCACCGCAACTGCGTCTGAGCAACAAATTCAGGTACCGTTAGTGGCAAGCATTATAAGCCATTTGTGTCGAGATGAGAAACACCAACTGGCCATGGCAAACCAAGGAGTCATTGACTCTCTCGCAACTCGGTTGGCAAGCATTGCAGTTGCTGAAGGACATGTTGTTCCCTATGCCGAAGTGTTCGGTCGGGTGGATCGGATGTCGGACTTCATTCCGGAGCCAGCGCCGTCCAGCTCCAACTTGGCTTCGATCTTGGAGGCATTGGCTGTCATCATCTCGGACTCTCGCTTCAGGGCCTGCATGTTGTTATGCTCGCCGGCTATCATGGCCATCTTCCCTGCTCTGAAATTCAACCCGTCAAAGGAAGTCCGAGCGCCTTGGAACTCCCTAGAGGTTAGCGGTCTCGGATACGCACGCCAGCAGAACCTCAGCGCTCTGGACTATCTACTACCAGCAATCCCTATACATCAAGGCCGGATCCCTGGTTCGCAGCAGTCGCACTTTCCTGCTCTGGGTTCGTCCGAGGCGCGGGAGCGGGCTCGCTCAGCCGCAAGCAAGTACAGCTCTACGGCTTCCGTTTGGGAGACTTCCCGGTTCGAGTTATTCGGAAACGAGACAGAGCCGGAAGAAGAACAGGAGACTCCTCTGATACCGTGGCTGATACTCTTGGTCAGATCGCGACAGGGTCTGGATCGGCTGATGGCTGCTAATCTGCTCACTTCACTTTTCAGGTCTGGGTTTGGCAGCAAGTATCTGAGGGAGACCAGCCTCTGCCTTCTAGTTGTTCCTGTCCTTATGGAGATGCTCGAACAGCTTCAGGCAGCGCCGCCAGTAGTAAAGTCTCCCCTGGTTGATGCAGACGCGGCGCTCAAATGGACTATACTGGAGCGTACGCCAGCCATCCTTGCCCGAATAATCACAGATAGCGAGCCGCTTCAAAAGGCTGCCTTTGACTGCGGTGCCGTCAAATGTTTCAGCAAGCTTCTCAAAGACGCATATGAGCCAATCCCACCATCGGCTTACGCTAAGGTATGGTCACCACACGCCGACACTGCGATGGAGACCGAAAGCACCCCTCCTTCTCGCGCTCTGGGATCAGAAGGACAACCGCCACTCCTGGCTCACAGGGTGCGGATGCGAGAAAGCGCACTCAAGGCGATAGGGGCTCTGGCGGCCGGCAAGGACGAATATCGTAAGGCGTTCGTTGTGGAGGACGTCGTTGCTCACATTGTGCAATCACTATCACCCACGCCTGGCAAGCCGTCAAATCCCAAGGATCGCAGCAAACCAAATGAACCAGATGGGCCAATCCGTGACGGATCCGCGTCTGACCACAATTCTGGGTACGGCAGTAACCCGCTGTCGGTCTTGATCGCGGGCTGCCACGCTGTGAGAATGCTGTCACGGTCGGTGAGTATTCTCAGGACGTCTCTGGTTGACTATGCTGTGGCCGTGCCTCTATTCCGGTTCCTCAGGCACCCGGACGTGGATGTTCAAGTTGCTGCCACTGCTGCGATTTGCAATTTGGTCACCGAAGTCAGCCCCATGAGGGAGGTGAGTGCAATCCCTGAAATCGCCTCTTTTAACGTGAACTATGCTAACCATCTCAGCTCCTGGCCGACCGGGGTGTGATGAAGATACTGTGTGAGCATGCGCATTCTCTCAATGCAGCACTGCGTCTCAACGCTCTCTGGGCATTGAAGCATTTTGTACATGCAGTTGACATCGACACCAAGAGGCAATGTCTGGAAGAGCTTGAGTCTGGATGGCTTGTGCAGCTGATTTGTGACGACACAGAAGATGATGCTCTGTTCCTTGCTAGGTCTAAGCTGGACAAGCAGAATGCAGTTGACACTGGAGACGATTTGGATGGCGATGTCGAGATGGATCAGGCTGATCCGCTGTCCAAGTCGTGGTTAGGTTCACAGGACGCAGACGGCAAACGATCGATCAAGTTACGTCAAACCGAGGCAAAACTGGCAGCTCTTCGCGAGGCGGAAATCAACCCTTTGCGGAAAGCCCGTAATGACGACCTTGCCATTCAGGAGCAGGGCCTCGACTTCATAAGGAATTTGATCGGGGCAGGTGCATCTGGACCGCAACCTGATGCGTCAAGCGATACTACGGAGATGATTGAGTACCTTTTCAACGAGTTGGGGCGGGAAAGATTTTTTGATATCCTAGCCAGGAAGCTCCAGGCCAAGGTACTTCATCCAACGTCAAGACGGTCCACGGGTTCAGGGCGAGAGGCCCGAGTCCTCTATCCTCAGGCCAAGATCATCGAGGCCGTTGTGTTCATCCTCGTTCACATGGCGGCAAGCACTCCGGGCCATCGACAACTAGTTGTTGCACAAACAGACTTGCTCAAGCTGTTGGCGAATCACTTCAATAGCAAGGACAAAGAAGTCCGGGTTGCCCTTTGTCACTTGATCAGCAACCTCACATGGCAGGACGATGACAACGATGCACGGGGATGCGCGCAAAGGGCGTACGAGCTTAAGAAGTTGGGCTTTCTCACCAAACTTGAGGGATTAGAAGACGACAGCGAATTAGACGTGCGAGAACGTGCCAAGAGTGCAGTGTGGCAGATGAAGCAGCCTGGCACATACTAGAATGATAAGGGGTCTCGCTGGGAATATCAAATCTTGTCCCGATTACTAGTCATGCATGAGCGTCAACAGAGGTCAATAGGGCAACGGTAGCGGACTTTGGGTCGATAGACGGAGAGGTGGGTGAGAGCACATCGGTGCTGGGGTTGTGGTAAAGAGCGGATGCATCGTCGAGACAATTATCTTGGATTGGCTGGGTTCGCATGCATGTACGATATAGATGTACATGGAGTTTAACGTAGCGTTACTGTACACGGTGAAAGAGTACATGATAAATGATGAAAAGGCATGTGTCAGCGTTGACAGTCAAGGCGTCCGAATAATTCGATGCCGAGAGTCGATTTGTGTGAAGATATGTATGTCTTGAAGTTGTGATACATTTTGGACTCCTCTATCACTTCCACGCAAACCTCGTGTACCTCACCAGGCGACAAAATGTGGCGTTCGTCCTTACTTACTCTATACTACTGACAAGTACAACCAAACTTCTGCTTGAAATTCAAGAAAAAAGTTCACATCCTAGTGGAGGCTACATCTCTTGGCGCACTTGCTGAGAATCGAACTCGGAATTTCATGAGCCCGCCTTAGAGTAGGCTGTGGACGTTAATTGATTGTTGACGTGTTGACCAACTCCACCACCCAGCCCAGTTTGACCTGACCCCCGACCTTGACGGGCGCCTGCTGGTTGGTGACGGGAGTGGGATTTAGGGTGTGTATGAGAGCTTTCACTTGTGGTGTATTCCATAGAGTAGACTGGATAAATAGACCTACAATGCGCCTCTGGTCATGTGCTGCGGACGGAGCTTGGGGTTGTTTTTCTAGGCCGGCACTGCAACGTTCTTGGGTATCTTGTGTCCTGTCTGAATGTTCTTGGCACTCATAGTTGAAACTACCTTATTACGGCATCAAAGGTGTTCGTCTGGGATTTCTCGGGAGCGACGGGTTGGGATGGGGAGGGTTCGTCTCTCATGTGGTCTGATCGCATATTCTCTGATCATGAGGTCGAGAAGGATCTGGAAGTTAGAGAGAGAAAACAGAGTTGGGGCCGCGGGAAGGGTCCACCATTGTGCAGGGAAGACACAGATGGGCCACGATCGACGGCAGGGTCGTTAAGTGCGGGACAGGGGTAAATAAGTGGTGCGAGAGGAAGAGACAGAGAGAGAGAGAGAGCGTGTGAGTGTGTAAGTGGTATGACGCAGTCAGATACATGCCATGTTGCATTGGAGAGGAAAAATTCTTTCTTGCAGCCCGCGCATCGAGGAACAGCTAAGTAGGACTGGTATGGTATTACTGGCCGGTATGCTGTAATGAATGTAGGCCTGAAAGGAGCCGAATGAGCGGGCTAGGCGTTTGGTTCACGGAGTCAGGATCGCGATGTGATAGTTTGCGCCGAGACCGCGACAGCGTGGGATAGCTCCACGTTTCGAAATGATCAATCGAGATTGTACATCTGTACAGGAACTCAGGCTCTATATCACTACCTCTCACATGGCTGAGGTCTGAATGGTGCAACCACGCGAGGCAATGGTTGGTTAGAAGAGCAATGTTACCGCGTAGAGTTTATTCCTCCAAAGGGAACACCAGCCCTCCATCTGCAAATGAGTTCAAGGAGGGGGAGCGCTTATCCTGGGCTGATGTAGGTAGGTAGGCAGGTAGATCTGAAACCTCAGGCCAATTGACAGGCTCGCCGGTGTGATGTGATGCATCTCGTCCTACCTATGATGAGGTTCCTCCGTTTAGTCATCGGGACGGGTGCAGTCGTGGGATTTTCCCGATGGTTCCGAGCGTCTGCCGGTTGGGCTCCGGCCGGGGCCCCCGGAGCGCGAGGCCCTTTGGCTCCCACATCAGGTGAGTCGATATTTCAGGGATTAAAAATCAAGTACCAGCGGCCATTACGTCAATACGCTCGTCTCTCGTTCTTCGAATTTCTCCTGCCTCCGTCCAATGCCGGAACTATGTACACTATGTGGGAGGTGAGCGTTTGCAGGGATTTGGGCTGTTGTTGGTTCCAGGTGGGGAACGGCGAAAGACGAACGGGGTGTCTGTGCATGCCGGCATTTGCTTCTTTGCCAGTCTCTAGATCCCAGCAATGCTCTGGTCCATGAAACTTCTTTCAATTGTCCTGGAGCACGGCTTCCGCAGAACGATACACGTCAGCTAAGTTGATAACGAATCGGCAGTGCATTCGCAGCTCAGAAATGTTGACGTTGTGATGTCGTATGTGGCTCATGGTCATCGAAGGCTGACATTTTTTCTATGTGTTGGCTCATTTGATGGGTGACGGATGGCCATCGACGGAGTGTACGGTATACTTGCTTGGCCTAGAACCCCAAAAGCCTTTGACTCCGTGATACTTCTCCTCAGGTACACCTCTGACTACGGACATATGCTGTGACACCTTTCGGTGTAAGCGGCTCCGGCGCTCACATAACCTCAATACATTCTGACTCCACACTCGGCCCATCCTTCCCCACAGCATACCATGTCATTGCCTATCCTCCTCGGCAGGGAGACAAGTTATGTAGAAAGGAAAACAAATAGACTACCTACTAGTCTCATCAAGTACCGGGGTGCTTCCCGGCAGCCCTGGGAGCGGACCTCTCGACTGCCACTTCCTTGGCGCGTGCGGGTTACATCCTGACTAAACCTTGCTTCGACTTGGCTGACTTCAAGACAAGGTCTCCTGACCGGAGGATTTTGTTGTTTCGAAGATGTTTCCTGCGATTCCCGACATCGACGGAACCTTCCATGGTTCAGTCACTGTGACTATCCCGCCCGTCCCATCCGGCATTGTCCATCAATGTTCGTTGGCCGGGAGGGAGGTATGGGTCCCTACGGCATCTGAGCTGCAAGTCTTTCACATCGCCAAGTTCCACTTGTCGGCGGGCTCGGACTTGGAGGTAGCATCTATCACACAACGTTGGAGGCGTGATTTCACATCATGGAACCGTCAAGTGGTATCTTACCGTCAAACTCTTGGGGAGTGGGGAGTTGGAAACAGAAGTATAAGACGTCCCTTCCATCCCTCTTTAGCAACTTCATCTCCATCACACCATCACAGGTATTAAACTCACAATATCCACCAACAGGCTTCCGTGGCTTGTATAACATCACACTGATTTCAGTATTTTACTCTACTGACGTATTCGTTGCGAAACACCTATCACTATCAACTCTCGATCACAGCAAAACGACACCATGGGTCTGATCCTGCAGCGAGCCAACGAGGCACTCGACATCAATCCCACCCCAGGGATTGAGGAGCAACTCAGCGTCAACGGCTCAAATTGGCTGTGGACTTGTGTAGCCATCTACTCTGTCTTCTTCGTACGTACTCCTTGCCGAACTTCTCCTCTGTCATCTTCCTTCTGACCTCCACCATCAGCTTGGCGTCTTCGCCCTCTCATGGAAACCTAGAAGCAACGAAAAGGTCTTCCACTACCTCCTTAGCATCGCCCTCCTAGTCGGCGCCATCACATACTTCTCCAACGCCTCCAACCTCGGCTGGTCCATCGTGATCCAGGGCACGACCTCGCGCTCGGGTGCTCCGCGGCAAATCTTCTTCAACAAGTATATCAACTGGGTCGTGGCCTTCCCCATCGTCAACATCCTCCTGGGCCTCGTCGCCAACTCGTCCTGGGCCACCATCGTCTGGCACGTCTTCCTCTCCTGGGTCTGGGTCATCAGCTACCTCGTCTCGGCCTACACCCCGTCCGTCTACAAGTGGGGCTTCTTCGTCTTCGGCACCGTCGCTTACCTCGTCATGGCGGCGTCGACTTTTGCCGAGGGCAGCATCGGGGCGAAGCGCGTGGGTACCCAGGGAGACTACTGGATCCTCGCCGGGTACTTCAACCTCCTCTGGCTTCTGTACCCGATCGCGTTTGGTGTCTCCGAGGGCGGCAACACCATTGGCGTCACGCCTCACTTCATCTTTTTTGGTGTTCTGGACGTTCTCATGATTCCCTGCGGCGCTGTTGTCCTCCTGCTGCTGTCCAGGAAGTGGGACTACAACGCCTTGAACCTCTACTTCACGCAATACGGCCGCGTTCCCCAGGGTGGACACTTCCCTGAGAAGTCGGCGGCTCCTGCCCCTGCCCCAGCTGCGACCCCTGCTGTCTAAAATGCCTTTGAGTCTTGGAAACATTGCGTATGGTGTCGGATGACTGAAGCCTCATCTCGGGATACAGTTTATCGACGATCTGAACATGACAGGCAATTTCTGCTTGACGCCATGCCATTATCGGCCTTGAGTAGGCAGTCAACGAGGAATCAGAAAGAGAATACGGAATACAATCGTTTACACAGGAGCGCCAAAGGGGTAATCCCTCATACGAGAAACGCATATAATCCGCATGGCGTACGGATAGGAAATACCCTCACTCGTTTGATTCCTTCCGCGGAGTTGGAGTATGTTAACAGAGTTTATAATGTATAATGCGGTAATCTGAGCAAAATTCATCAGCTGCTAGTACTAGATAGTCGGGTTGAATAATAACGTGATCTTGAGTCAATCCTTACTACTCTTCTCTTGATAGGCCACAGTAAAACCAAAACGTCCAGGTAGAGTCTTTTTCTAATCATTGCTAAGACGTGATTCTTCACCTTTAATTTGCGTTCTCTGAGTTTTGCCTGTGGAACAGATTTTCTAGTAGACATTGTCTCGACCACAGCAAGGCAAGGAGCATTTGACGTGTTTCCAAAACTCAAGAGCTTGGAAGGTCCCCGATCACTCCCATATGCGAAGCTTTCGTGCAAGAGAATGGAAATTGGCCTGAATAGACGTACAACGAAGAAAGGATGTGGACAGTGATCTAGTCAGATTCCACGAGCAGTAACCTAGGACCTTGAAACTTTATTATTACAGTCTTAATAGATTCATATTTCCGCACCGAGCAAGTCCTCAGCTTCCGGTCTTCGACTTACACAGCCTATATAACAGCGATCCCAACCCAACCCCCCTTCCCAGTCTGGGCGATGTGGCGGAGGTCCTCCTGGCGCTGGAAGAGCCACTGCAGCGGGGTCAGGTGCCCCCTCCTGTTCGGGTCGGGCAGCGCGACGGAAGACCATGGTCAGGGAGATCTTGACGGTGCCGCTCATGCACTTGTCGTACTCCATCTGCTGGCGCCAGGCGTTCTATGAAATACGCAGCCGTTACCCCCGTCCACTAGAGTCATGATATTCCGGTAAGAATAGGATATCTATAAGAAGGGGGCGAGACTAGATACTCACTCGAAGCAAGGTTGAAGCACCCACCTCGGGTAAGGCTCGTTTCTAGATGCTCAACTACTCGATGCCGAGAAGGACCTGAAATCGTTGTGGACAGAAAGGCGAGATGCGACTCGTTACATGCTTCATTTTTGTTCATCGTTCTCTCTTCCAAACACCTACATGGTCAATCTGTTTGAAGAGATGAGCCGTAGATGTGTTACGTCATACGATAGTTGTCTAGAGTTCTTGACTACGAGATTGCGTTTGGTCTGACGCCCAGATCGCAGAGCCGCGTTGTTGACTACATGGCGCATCATAGAGGCTAGACGTTATCGGAGGTAATGGGTATAGTAACCCCTCTTACAGCAAACCTATGAAAAACGAAGATACAATCTGTGTATGAGCAGAAAATTCACTCGGTGTCCGGTCGTGGTACTTTTTGAATAGGTCTTTTAGTTATCTCATATGGTTGGAGGCTAAGCTTCAAGCCAAATGCTTCGAAACGTGATGGTCTCAACTTTGAGTATCTCACCTTCTGAATAGTATCGCTCTCGCCAATGGAGTAACCTCTCCCTGATGAAATCTCGTTGACTACTGACTGACTAAGAAGCGGATGGATCTCTTCAGTCAGGCCAATCATGACAGCTGACTGGTCGCCATGGTCGAGAATGTGAACCGTGTATCGGGATGACGAGGAGACGATGAATCGCCATATAGTCTCACATGCCAGAACCACATCAGAATGGATACGATGACGCTCAAAACCCCCCTCCGTGCCCGCTCATTCTCTCCATCCGAGGATGTCGCAGTCCATCATTATCATCATCAGACAAACTCCCTCTTTACTAGCCATCACATCAGATCGCTTCACCTGGAACCCAGCATTCAAGACAAGAAAGCAACTATCCGTTCGGCGTCCTCGGACGCCAGGTCTCGTCCGGCCAACCGTATCCGCATTCAAGACATACATGAACTCATCCCCCCTCCAAGAACGATTCGCCCCAGAAAAAAAGCAACCATCACGAACCGCACCTCGCAAAAGGGCGGGACTGCCCGCCGCCCGCGCCCGCGCCCGCAAACAACATAGAAAACGAACTTCTTCCATCATCGCGTCAGGAATGCAAAAAGCAAACACCCCAATACCCCTTCCCCAGCCGTCCAGTCCGTTCCAGACCCCTCGGACTTTTCAAAATGCCCCACGTGGCAAAACCATCGTCCTCTAAGCGAAGGTTCGTGGTATTATTTTTTTTCGCATCGTGCCATCTCACCGGTGCCCGCTGCAGGGAGGGGAATCGGCGAGATAGACATTCCAATCAATCCCCGACCTTGTTCTACTTCCAATCCTATCCCGCCCACAGGTAAGCTTCAAGGCGGATCTCACAGCTATGCCGGACACACTGCTTAACAACCTTTCTTTCCCAATCCTTACGGTCTCCGGGTACACCATCTCCCTCTCGGTTACGTCTCGTTATCGTATGGCTAAAAGGTTACTTCAACCTCCTTACTCGGACCCCATGTCAAAGCGTCACGTCATCAATAGCCACCGACCAGAAGACATTTTGAGGGGGGGGAAAGGGTCTCATGCGCTGGCGTCGTACAGCAAGCACGGTCAAGTCCATGAGATATGTAGTGTGCCTCTCTTCACCCCAAATTAACCTTGTACGTCACTACATTTTCCCCAGCAATTGTTTGACGGCGAGTAAGTCTTCTTCAACGCGAGTGAAAAAAAGAGTTGGTGACAACCATGGCAGAACGAGATCGAGCCGAGGCCGTTTCCCGAGCCCCGTTCCTAAACTCCAACATTGGTCATCTCTTAGTCGGAAAGGTTTACCAAGGTTTTGGAAAAACTCTCCCCCCCCCTTCCCCTTTCCCATCCCCCCCTCATCTGTACCAATAAACTACAAAGAAGGTTTCTTCTCCAAAGAATAAGTCTTGAGACGATTCCCGACGGGTAAAAGAAAAAAAAAAAGACGTAGTTAAAACCACCCGAATGGGAGGGAGCAAAAGTAAAGTGCTGGTTAGCAAGGTTAACCTTCCCTCGCCTCTTCGCGCCCAAGAGGTTCGACCGACGTTTTGGGCTTCTTCCCGGCAAGAACCTAGTTGCAATTATCCCAAACGACCAACAACCTTCGCAGAGCCGCTGATGGGCCCTTACCTCTCTTACCAATCAAGTGGGATACCGTGTACAAGGCAAAACTCATATTGCGCCGAATTTGCTGAGCAGCACGCGAGAACGAACCGAACATTGGGGATGAATGGATGGATGGATGGATGATGACGCTGCCTCGACCGCGCCTCGGTACATAGTATCTAGTATCACACCCAAAAGCGATCTCGGACGGTCAAGAGCGCGGATGCTCTAGGCAATCACTACTTCTCCCCGCCTTCTCGTCTACTGCCAGGCCCTCTTCTTGCTGTGCGGCTGGTGCTACACGATGCCGCCTCTTCTTGTATGCCATGACCCGCGGAGGGGGGCAAGAAAACCGACCGATTCCAAGACATGGACGGATTACAACGAGCTTTGAGAGCAAGCCAAGGTCACCTGGAGAGATGATTCAGGCAAGTAAACTAGGCTGAAGCATATGCAAGCCATGGAGTTTCTCGGGGCGGCACCGGCGGCGGCTTTCTCACTCCTTTCAGTATCATGGTTCACGATTCCTTGGGTCCTGGGTTCTTGAGGTTCCCAGCGCCGAGTTAGCGCCGGTGTCAAGTTCAAGTGAGGCGTCGCGCGAGAGAGAGACAGATAAAGGTTTCTGGTTCTTCTGCGGCTCTCTAGGGCTTCCCTTGTATTGCGTGAGGTAGGTGCGCTGTGCTTGTGTGCGTTTCTGGACGCGGGAACAAGGCAGTACATTCGAAAGAAGCGGAAAGTCAATCGTTGATCGAGAAAAGAAGAGACAACCTTGAACCTGTGGCCCTGTGGCCCTTTTTTGGGGGAAGTTTCAAGAAAAAAAGTCGGTCTAAAGAGAAACGGACGGTGCTCGGGAACGAGTCTCGGGGAACCCTTGCTTGGGGAGGCAAACGGGTTCGTGCAGCCATTATCCATCGACATGGCATGATGTAGTCTCTCCCACATCCACTGAATTATCTACGTCTACTTGGGTGAATTCAGCCTCAACTATGGTAAAGAGGAGGAGGGGGAGACAAGGATTCAAGAAGAAATGGTGAAGACCTGCGACTGCAAGCGCCAAATCTGCGAAGACCTGTGTATACCATTCTACGCATCCATGATGGAAAAAACATAAAAGACAAGTCCCGTCAGCAGCGGTGGGGGCACGTGCATCATGCAATGGAGATTCGGCGAAGTATTGATGTCAAAAGCTGGGACATTGTTTGCTTGCCCTCGCGTATGGTTTCTCAACCAGGGTGTGGGTGATTTCGCACCATGCTGTGCCACCGTGACAAGACAATCTGAGGCTTCGATGAGGCAGGACAGCCAACCCTACCCATCCTCTTTCGCCCATTATGCTGGCAAGGAATACGAAGCTGCAAGATGGTTGGAGCTGGATAGACTGGCAGCGAGAAAGTGTCGACCTGGCCTCTAGGACAAGGTCGTCCGATGTAGATGGGGGAAGGACAGCAGGCATCAAATATGGGAGACAACCCGACAGCTTTTTTCAGCCCATGGACTTCGGCAGTGACCCCCTCCTCTGCTTGGACTTACTTGTATCGTGTTACACGACATTGACCATCTATCTCACTGGCGAATGCTGAAGCCGACCGAGCAGCTAAAGAGGATGGGCAATCGAGATGGCGTTGCCAGGCGATGCGGCGAGGTCAGATTTGGTAGGGTCCTAGATGTGTGATGTGCCGTTGCGTTTCTTTGGTGGGTGCCAAGTGCTCAGTCACCACCGGAACAGAAAGAGTTATCGGTTTGTGCCCGTGATTTCGTGACTGGCCGATTCTGGTTCACGCTGGAGAGGAGAGGAGCCTAGGCAGAGCCTTGGCTTCCATGTGCCTGTTGACCACACGTAGAAGAGTGCCTTACGTTGCAATGTCGTTGGCACTAACCCCGCCCAGCACAGTATGACAGGCTGACAAGCGTGCCTCGCAGCTCGAACGGGAGAAGCCAGCCTTGCGTTGTCGCCCGAGACAGAAAATGGGGACCATCTTCATGGAGGAAGGCGTTGTCGGCTGTGCCGCTTGCTGCCTGTCCTTGACTCGCGATTCGCAAATTGCCGTGCAAGTATTCTAGTGTTTGCTGCCCTCAGTTTGCCAGGATGGCGAGTGAAATCGAGGGAAGACTTGCTGATGTTTGCCACGTAGGGAATCGTTGTCGAAATTCCCAAGGCCGTTCGTTTGGCTCTCCCTTCCCGTAGGCGGCGAGATCCCT